AAATTTGTGTGTGTATGCGTGCACGAGTGCCTGCATTGTTGGCATTAGGATCTGAGCTTTCCTCCCATTCCTGTCCATCCTCTCCTTTCTCCTTTCTCGACAGACATACTATACCAACCAGGTTATCCTTTATAGGAACATTTTTAAACAAATAGGTAAACTAAAGGGGTCTAGCCTTACATATAGTTTAGCACTTCTGCATAGCCCATTGTAAAAATGATTATGATTCTCTCCTTCCTCTTGTCCTGTTTCTAGAAACTCTTGCTTCTCCAGGTGGAAAGATCAGAAAGTGAGAAAGATTTGCATCATCTAATAAAAATCACATTAGACTGATTAGAAAAAGGAAACAGTTTTAGTAAATCTTTCATTTTAATTTAAATTTAGCTGAAATTCCCCCCTGAGGGGCCACATGGCTTAGGACTGGTGAGAGGCTATCAATTAATCTGAATTAAAATTAAAAATTAAAGGTAGGCTCCATCTGGAGGTCTCCTTCCTCCTTAGCTATAAAATAATAAATCTAATCTGTTATAAAAATAAGTAGGAGTCTCATATAATTTACAGTAAAATTTCTAAGACACACCAGTTCAAAAATTATTCCTAAATTGATTACTACTTCATTTTAATTTGCAAAACTCCCAAGCATACAGTTAAAATTTCCAACATTTCCTTTTTGTCTTCTCACCAATATTATCTTTTCTTGCTGTAAAAACCGGAACTGGTTTTTCTGGGAAGAGGTTGTTTTTATCTCCCTTACCAGTGGTTAATTAACAAGCATAATGGCAAAGGCTCTTAATGCAGAGAAACATACAAACAGACCAACAGGTTAAGGGACAGACAAGCAGCAAACATTCAAAGGTGTGCGATAGTGACTTCAGGAAAAGGCTAGTTTAATTTTAAACATAGATGACATAGTTGAGGCGTTGATGCTATGGGTGCTGGGACCCTGAAGTTATGCCACATAGGTCCTGCCAGAATGAATTTGACCCATCTTCTTTCAGCCAAAGACAAGGTTTTATTAGGGATGGGCCATATAGGCCAGATTCTTCAGGAATCTGAGCATTAGTGATGCCCATAAGGATGAATGGGTATGAGGAAATCTCAGTGTTTAAATGGGGTCCAGGATGGATCCTATATACAGCCAAGTAATTTGGGGTGTTCGGAGGAGGGGCTGGGAGGAGAATCTGGGGTGACTGGGGGAGAAGTTTAAGGAGAATGGCAGTGTCTGGGAGGTTGAATGGGGTCATCTGGAATAGACAAAATGGAGGGCTAGGCTCCATCAGGGTTACAAACTGGAAGATAGGGAAGGAAAAGGTTGAATGGGGTCTAGACAAGATCAAAGATGGGAGATATTCTAAGCTTCATTAGAGTTAACAAAGATACCCTAATAGGGCCCAGGGATAAGGAAGAGGTTGATTGGAATAAGAATAAGAGATAAGGAAAGGCCAGTTGAATGGATAATAGCCTCAAGCAACTTGAGCTTGTGGCTTCTTAGATCATTTAAAGAAAGTTTAAGGGTTTGGGGGGGACTTAAACAAATGGGACCCAAATTCTTTTTGGAGTGAAGGGCAAAGGTCTCAGCTTGGGCCCATACCCCATCAACATGACAAAAAGAACACAGAGATGGGTGAATTTAAACCTTTACCAAGCTAGGCTCTCTGCTGAAGCTAGTATTTGAGAAAGCACACATCAACAAACATAAGGCCGATAACAGACTGGATTCTACTCACAGTTTGAATTACTAGCTATCTCATGTCCCACATACACAAATACAAACACTACACTTAAACTTAACACACTACAAAGACAGACAAAAGGGCTGTTGCAGCTTTAAAAAAAAATTAGAAAGTCCTTTCTTTTGAGATTCCAACTGGCCTAATCCTTACTGGAGGAGAAATGTTTTCAATCTAGCCTCCTTCTTTGTAATTTTGCCAACATTGCCAATGTTCCAAAAACTTGCAAGTATCCAAACCCATGACTGACCACAGTACCTTTTGGGGGGCCAAGTAAAGTGGCCTCCAAATTGATTGCCCATGGGTCTTTTTTGCCAATTCTCAACTAAAGAGGCAACTCAGACGCAACCAAAAGAGATGTGAGTCCAGATACAACAGTGATTATGTACTTAACTTGGTCCAGGAGGGAGGAAGCTTGGGGACCAGGCATAAGGTTATGCTGGTACCAGGGCATACCAGGGCTCACTCCCGGGACCACGGAAGACATAATCTTTGATGAATCCTACCATTACCACCATTTAATGTCTAGTCCTGAAATAAATCAAAGCCATGAGTTGAAGAATAAAGCATCTTTAATTGAGGTAACAGAGTAGCAAACCTGCCACCCTGAGGGATGTTCCAGTAGACTTCCCAACCAAAGACACTCATGAAAAGTTTTTATAGTTTTAGGAGGAGATGGGGAGGAGTCAGTATGAGGTAATAAAGCTTAGTCATGAGACCTCAGTGGTCCTTGGCAATCCAGGCAAGGAAAGCCATTTTATTCTGGCTGTTTTGCCCTTCATGCCATGAATCTCAATGGAAGGGGGTAAGAATGTCAAAGGGACAACCAGGCTCAAACTGGTGTTATTTAACCGGAAAGATTCTGAGATGAAGGATTGAAGATTCCAGAGTGGAGACTTAAAGTGTGGCTCAGCTCAACCTTCTCTTATTATTTTAAGAATAGGAATATCAGGACATTATGGGAATTTTGACATTGTCTGGATGACTAAGAGGTTGAGGCTACATTACAATCAGTATTAACAATTTTCTGTTACTACATTAACAATTTTGTCAATATTTAACAATCCAAGTTGGGAGTAGTAAGTAAACATTGATATACAAAGGAATCCAGTCTACTGTTTCCTGTTCTTGCTAGTGACTCATCTCAGTGCCTCAAGCAACAGATTAGCTGCCTGAGGCTTTTGGAAACAGGATTTAGAGCAGAAAGAAACTTTAAAGGTTACTTTATAATTTGCCTCCTTAATTTATTTGGGAAAACCATGAATGTCCCAGGGGAAGATATCTGATATTTTTTTCTGGAAAAGGGTAGAGTTGAATCCTCCTTCATTTTATATGGGTTAATTTAGGGCATGAACTTTTCTTTGATTAGCTCCTCCCAGCCCACTTCCTCTCTAAGGTTTAGAGTAACCTAACCATTTTACCACACTTAGTTTAAATTTAGCCCAAGGGAAATATGATGGACCGCTGGTTCATATGGCCCCTTTCATTGCTATTTTAAAGTGTTTATATCAGATGAAAGGTCACTAGTATAGTCACAATAGGCAGTAAAATTCCTAACATTCAGACCATGGTTTTGCTTTCTGCCAGTTGGGCAACTAGGTGGTGTGGTTAATAGAGTGCTGTGCCTGGAGTCAGGGAAACTCATCTTCTGAATTCAAATCCATACTCAGACCTGTACTAGCTCTGTAACCCTGGGCAAGTCACTTAACCCTGTTTGCCTCAGTTTCCTCATCTGTAAAATGAACTGGAGAAAGAAATGTCAAAACCCCAAATAGGGTCAAAAAGAGTTGGACATGACTGAAAAACAACTCAATAACAACTAATATTTTTAGCTAACCCTTGGCTTGTAGATGTTTGATGCAAAATCAGGATAATGAGGTCTAAAGGTTTAGGAATGCTGGGACCCCAAAATCATGACACATGGGTCCTGCCTAAAAGAATTCGACCCAACTCTTCTTTCATCCAGAGACAAGGTTTATTAATGATCCACTATATTAGCCAGACTCTTAAGGAATCTGAGCATCTGTGAGCTATTGGCTAGATTGTAAGAATCTGAACACCTTCATGGAGACAAGATGGACCTTATATACAGAAAGACTGTGGAAGGGATCTAGAAAAGGCCAAGTATTTTGCCTGGATTGTGAGGTAATAGAATGCCAGGGACCTACACCTTGAGGCTAAGGGAGAATGGAGCCTAGATAGAATTAAGGGTGGAAAGTGGCCATAGGGAGGTAAGACAATGGAGGGCTAGGAATAGAGAATTGGGAGATTGGGTGTAGGAAAGGCCAGTTGATGGGATTATGCCTTCAGAGGCTTCCTTGATCAAGTAAGAGAATTCAAGGACAGTTCAAGGGTTTTCTAGAGTCCTTAGACAAATGGGACCCAAACTCTTTTTGGAGTAAGGAGCAAAGGTCTTGCCTTGGGCCCATACCCCATCAAGGATACAGGTAATTCTTTGATAAATGTAGGCAGAATATATCACAGTGCCTTAACAAGGGTGGGAAAAAGGAGGAGCTGACATTTTAGAAATACTCTCCTAACCTCCCACCCCACCTCCAACCCTTGAAGATGAGTGTGTGTGTGTGTGTGTGTGTGTGTGTGTGTGTGTGTGTATTGGTTTTTTTTTTTGTTGTTGTTACATTCAGCTTGCAGGTATTAGGTACTTAATAAATGCTAATGAACTGAGTGCCTTGCCTATCAAGCAAAATATTTAAACTATCTCTATAAGTACTATTCATTCCTTTTAAAGAAACAATGAAATATAAGGCTAGTTGAGATATTTTCAACTGTCTAGTGTCTTTTGGGCAGCCATAGTTAACATGCTACCCAATGTGTATTAAGTTAGCCTTGTCCTTCAGTGGCATTGTTAATAGTCAATAATTCTGCCTGATACATTAAAGGCCTTGTAATTTGGCCTGAAAATTGAAAGCAATTTCATGTCAGTGCACAGTACAAATTACTTATATATGGGGATGAAATTAATTTTCATTCTCAGTGGTATAGTTGTTCTATTACCTGAGCATCAGTTCGTTAATTGCAAAAAAGACCCCAAGCATTTGAGGATGCAGCCAATTTGAAAACTTCACCACAGCTTGCCTGGTCTAGGAAGGCACACATAGTAATTGCATTTATTCACAGTTACCTGTAGCCCTGTCTTATGTCTTGATCTTATGTGTTTATATATATATATATATATATATATATATATATATATATATATATATATATATATATATATATATATATATATATATATATTATGCACTGATATGTATGTGTACATGTCGTCTCTGAAGAGGAAGTATGTGATAATTTTTGGATAACTCATTTAACCCATAAAACCCCCCAAGAGACAGTTTCTGGGTAATTAGTAATCAATTTATTAATTAGGCCAGCCTATAATCAATAAATTGATGGTCAGTGGTTTCTTTTGGTAACCAAAGACCCCAAGGAAAGCTCTGAATCACCTTAGATCCTTTCTGAAAGTGAACACTCCTGAGAAGTGAAACTCAACCCTGATTGGGGGACATTTAATGAGGAGGTAGGCCAAAAGTCTTCAGCTCCTTCTGCTGAGAGAATGGCTTGATCATGAGATCAACTGTTCAAACCAGAAATGTAAATCTGAAAAGCTAGGAACCTAGTCCAGAAATCAAATGTTTCATTTCTGTTTGGTGCATTCGCCATAAGACTGTTCGCTTTTCATATCTTAGGAATGGGAAAATTTCCATTAAAAAGCTAATTCAAATATCTGTACTCTGATTTTATTTGCCCTTAAGTTTATTAAAACAAATTATGTGAAAATTCTGGCTAATTTCACTGACTAAATGGTGAACAAACCTAACTGGACTAGACAAACTTATTTCTTACATATTTATGACTATCTGTTCTATAATGCATTTCTTTAGAAAACGAAACAAACAAAAAACAAAATACCTACAAACCCAATGGGAAGAAAAGAGGTGTGTTTTGTTTGCAAGGAAGCTACAACTGCAGAAGCATTTAAAAGTCTAAAACAAAAGAGCTTATTAGTAAATGTACGGAAATATACGATATGGCACACGTTGACAGTACTTTTCCCATGCCAAACCATATTTCTTCTTACACTGGTGTTCATCGCGAGCTTCTCGGTGAATAAGCAAGATGGTGAAATAAATCACGTAAATATATGGTAAAATATGATTAAAACCACATGGTAGAGACCAAGACAGAGCCATAATGAGATCACCCAAGTAGTTGGGATGTCGAACAAAACCCCACCAACCAGACACTAGAAGGTTCTTTCCACTTGAAGTATGAATAATTTTCAGATGTGCCAGATTAGGATCATTGGGATTTTTCCGAAATGCATTTTTCTGAGAGTTTGCACAATGGAATACTGTATATCCTGAAAGTTTTAAAGCAATAATAATGGATGCAAAAAGCCAAGAAACTTCGTTAGGATGACTGACTAAATAAAAGGCTTGTAGACTATAGATAAATGGCACCCACACCAAATCTCCAAATGCTAACATGAACCCAAATCCATCATGTATAATATCCATAGTTGTCAACAAAGCTTCCTCATTCCAAAGAGCATCTACCACATATAAAAGCTGGAAACTGTTAACCAATATCATTGCTAAAGAGGGGGTTTCACGCTGTTGGACTTTCATCTCTGCCAAGAGCATTATTAAATTAATAACAACCCAACCAATCAATCCTGGACGCAATTCACAGAAATATTTGAGGTCAAAATGTCCAATTCGTGGATTTAATTCACGACCAATAAAGAATTCATAGACAATATTTCCTGATTTTCCTGGAGTTAGCTCTTCTTTGGGTGCTTTCAAGGACCGGACATAGAGATAAATGCTCAAGGCTACAGAAAAAACTGTAGCTGCAACTGCAAACTGAAGGAAATGATCATACACATAGTAGAGCTCCATCCCCCAGTACAGAGATATTCCAATGACTACAGATGTCAGAATAAAAGCATAGAATCCGTTTAATCTATATTTTAATCATCTTCCATCATAAAGAGGTGTTCCTTCTACTACCTTTCCAATTGGCAGGAGGTGGAAGAGGGCTTGGAGAAAAAACCAAAGCAGACAGACTCCAAACACTCTGGTTTCCCAAAAATTAGCCAAAGGTGGCCTCAAGGCATGTGGCAGGGAAGCCATTTCGATCAGGACCTCTCTAGCTAGTTTTCTGCTTTATGAGCTGAGTTGCCTTAAACTCTAACGGACAGGAGAGTCTTCCTATAAGGCAAAGGCTTGTCTTTTAGACTGGATTCTATCTATACTCTAAACAAAAATTAGATTTCCCAGTTGGGTGGGGTACCATCTAACCTGGTCTGTGAGCATTTGCCTTGGAGGCTAGGAGCAATCTCTTCACAAAGCTAGACACTGACTGACCTTTTCAGGAGTTGGACATTAACAGAAATAAAAGGGAAACGATGGAACACAAATTAATAATTAGTTATTAATATAATAGCATAATATTAATTTCTCTCACTTATTAATGGGATTAAAGCCCATGGGATTTTGAGCTAGAAAGGACCTTGGAGATCATCTATTCCAGTCCAGTCATTTACAGAGGAAGGAATTGAGGCCTATGGTGGTATGGGCCTAGGGAAAATTCTAGTAAATAAATTAAATTAAAATAAATTAAAAATAAATAATAATAATAAATAAATTAGAAAACATGATGTACTTAGTCAGCAAGTAATAAGAATTAGAATCTTTGTTCAGGCCCTGCCCTGGTCATTGAGGTAAGCTCAGGCAAAGAAAGATAAAAGTATTTAATTAGTGGTTTGTCCTTCATTCTCAAAGAGGACCATGACATCAGGAAGATGATGTCATGATTTGCAAGTGAATTGGATTTAAGTGAGAGAGGGCAGTACAAAGTCACCAACCTCACTCTCTCCTCTAGAGTCATCTGGGTCCAGAGGTAAGATATAGATCAGGGTGACTAGAGATGGCCCTGGATGCAGTGGGTGACATTAGACTTTTTAAGCTAAGGTCTTTCCCAGGTCTCAGTTTGCCTGAGGCAACACCCATTCAGTGATTAAGATTAGGTAAGGGGGCAGCTAGGTGGCACAGTAGATAGAGCACTGGCCCTGAAGTCAGAAGGACCTGAATTCAAATTCGTCCTCAGACCAAACACTTGACACTTACTAGCTGTGTGACCCTGGGCAAGTCGCTTAACCCCAATTGTCTTAAAAAAAAAAAGTAGGTAGGAAATGAGGCAAAAAATGGGAGGGGAAGGTAATATTTTATTAGTACACTAAGGCAGCAAATAATTGGAATGTGGCTGGTGCAGCTTTTATTGTTGTTTTGTGAATTAATCATATCTGACTCTTCCTGAGGCTTGCGCCTTAGGAAGTATTTGAATAATCATTACATAAAGGTGAAGGTCAGGGGTATTCCCTATCCAGAAGCCCATTTTACAATAGGGCATTCTATCCTAACAGACATGTAAATAGGAAAAATAGAAGAAGAATTAAGTTGTCTTTTGAGTCATTAAGATGTTGACCCAGAAAATGTGCAGATATTGCAAAATGCTACATTTTTCTCAGTTTTCTATTCAAAGATGCAAGCTAGTATAATGGAAATAACACTGGATTTGGATTCAGAAGATGGTTTTGAATTCTTTGGGAAAGTTACTCTCTCTACACCTATATAATAAAGGAGTTGGGCTAAATGATCTCTCAGGTTTTTTCCAATGCATAATTCTAATTTAACCAATATTTATTGAGCGTCTACCATTGTACTGCTTAAAGAGGCCTGAGTGACTGGGTGGTATACATGGAAAGAGACATTTATAGGGAAGAACATTACTTTGGGAGAGGAAGGGGGAGATGATGAGTCCATTTTGGATAGGCTGAGCTTGAAGTAATGGAGGAACTCCAGGATGTAGTTAGCCAGCAAGTAATAAGAATATGGGACTGAAACACCAGGGGTATTTGAGAAAGTGGGGGTGGAGATATAGATTTGGTAGTAAAGATTATGAATGATTGAGATAACAGAGACTAGACAGAGCCAAGAACAGGGCTAAGAACAAAACCTTTTGGATTTCATCTTAAGTCTTTTCCTTCTTCTCTCCCTTCCTTCCTTCTTTCTTTCTTTCCTATAGCTGCTGTAAATGAGGAATGTGACAGTTTGGGATTAGAACATGGTATCTCAATCTGAAGCTTTAAAATAGAGGGCTGTAGGGTAGAGGTAGAATAGAGAAGAGTGCCCTCTGTAGAGACCAGCTAAGATTGAACCTAATCAACAAGTAGATGACAAGAGACTGACTGAGGACTCCTAATCTAATACTTCAATATATACTCCAGAATTTTCCTCTAGGGTCCACATCATTAGATGCTCTTGGTCTCAAGTTACTCCACCTATAAATTAAATATAAAAATCTGTGGATGGATAATGTTTTAAAATGAACAGATGAGGATGGAGCCAAGATGGTGGAATACAGGCAGTAACCCAGCTGAAATCTCCCAACATTTCCTTTCAAACAACTTAAAAATAACTCTTCAAATCAAATTTTGGAGCAGCAGAGCCAACAAAAGGTCAGAGTGAGACATTTTTCCAGCCTAAGATAACTTAGGAGGTCCAAAAAAGAGGTCTGTGGGGCAGCTAGTGGCACAGTGGATAGAGCACCGGCCCTCAAGTCAGGAGGACCTGAGTTCAAATCCAGCCTCAGACCAAACATTTGCCACCTACTAGCTGTGTGACCCTGGGCAAGTCACTTAACCCCAATTGCCTAAAAATTAAAAAAAAAGAGGTCTATAACACCATGGTTGGAATGTGTCCAGGTGACAGCAGTTCCAGTGGTGGACCTTGGAGGTAACTACAGCAATGGCAGCAGGAACAACAGATTCTTTAGGAGCTCTCAGCTAGATAACTGGTCAGTCACTGGGTGCAGTGGGTGCTGATTGGCAACTCAATTGCCCATATGCAGTTCAGGGTCATAGTTCAAGGGCATAGAGGAGTGCTTGGGGTCAGTCACGAAGGAGCAAAGTCCATACTCATAGTTATAAGGCAGAGAGGAGCACTAGCTCTTATGGCTGCAGGAGAGCAGAGGATCTGGTCACAGTTCCAGGGCCAAGAGAAGCACTAGTGCTTGCTACTACAGAGGAGCAGGAGCTTTTCCCAGAGCACAGACCAGGAAAGCAGGGACCATACCTCTTTTCAGAGCACATTACCTTTGAAGCACTGAAAATTTGTAGACCTCCAGCATTAGCTCTGAAAACAGAAGCATGAAAAACCCTAAAGTTTGGGACAGTACTTCCCCACCCCAAGGTGAGCAGAGCTCAACTTTAACATAAAGTTCAAAGTCAAGAAATAGGCTGGAGAAATGAGCAAACAACAAAAGAACCTGACCATAAAAAGCTAGGACAGTGGCAGGGAAGACTGAGACATAAACTCAGAAGAAGACACTATTGTGAAAACAGCTGCAAACAAAGCCTCAGAGAAAAATGTTAATTGGATCCAAGTCCAATAAGAATTCCTGGTAGAGTTAAAGAAAGAGATGAGAGTGGTAGAGGAAAAGACTGGGGAAAGAAATGAGAGTGATACAAAAAAAATTATGAAAAGATAATTAACAGTTTGGTAAAAGAGGCACAAAAAAAATACTGAAGAAAATAACTCCTTAAAAAATAGAATTGGTCTAATGGTAAAAGAAGCACGAAAAATTTACTGAAGAAAAGAACTCCTTAAGATGAATAGGCCAAATAGAAAGGAGGGGTACTGTTACATTTGAAGATTAAGGTAAAATGAGAGACAATAATTAAGCATAATCAATTTATTAGTTAGGCTAGCAGTAAACAACAAATCTGGTCAATGTCCTCTCTTAATGACCAAGGACTCTGATGTAGACTTCACCAGCCTTATATGGTTTTGGGGAATACAGAGTTGGGTAGGTAAGGAAGACAATATGATTAGTTACAAAGTAGACAGAATTTTGGGGGGTTGGGACAATATGATTGGTTATTTTAAAGAAAGTAGGGCTAGTGACTACCCCTCTCTGACAGTTAAAGAATGTTAATTATTTTATGGGACCCATCAATTTTTGCAGGCCTTGTTAACAAACCTGAATTGGTACTAGAAAGGTTTGTTAGAGAGATAAGAATTTTACAAGGATAAACAAAGATGAACAATATGCCTTTTGGGGATGGTAAGTTAACCTGTAACTAACTGAGAGGAAAAGCTAACTCACAGAGAAATGCAGACTGAATGATTATACAAAATGAGGCAGTGATATAGAGTAGGGTTAATTACAGAATAGAACAAACTGTTAAATGATACAGAATAAGTTTAGTTTCCTCAGCACTGAAGAAAATAACTACTTAAAAAGTAGAATTGGCCAAAATGGGGGAAAAAAGTACAAATGCTCACTGAAGAAGACAATTCTTTAAAAAATTAAAATTGAGCATGTCAAAGCTAATGACTGTATGAGACAGCAAGAAAGAATGAGACAAAATCAAAAGAATGAAAAGATAGAAGAAAATATCTTATTGGAAAAACAACTGACCTAGAAAATAGATCAAGGAGAGGTCATTTAAGAGTTATTGGATTATGCCCAAAGGGATATAAAACTGTGCATACCATTTGATCCAGCAATACAACTACTAAGTCTGTAGTCCAAAGAGATCATAAAAATGGGAAAAGGTCCCACATGTACAAAAATGTTTATAGCAGCTGTTTTTGTGGTGGCAAAGAAACAGGGGATGCCCATCAATTGGGGAATGGCTAAACAAGTTGTGGTATATGATTGTGATAATGTACTATTGTAATGTGGGAAATGATGAGAGGGGTGGTTTCAGAAAAATATGGCAGGATCTATATGAACTGATACAAAGTGAAGCAAGAAGAACCAGGAGATCATTGTGCATAGTAACAGGAATGTTGTAATGATAATCAACTATGAAAGTCTTGGTTACTCTGATAAATTCAATGATCCAAAACAATTCCAAAGGACACATGATGAAAACATGCTATCCATCTCCAGACAGAGAACTAATGAACTCTGAGTGCAAATTGAAGCATAATTTTCTTATTTTCTTGTGTGTGTGTGCGTATTGTGTGTGCATGTGATATGGCTAATATGAAAATATGTTTTTACATGATTCTACATGTATAATTAATTGATATCATATTGCTTGCCTTCTCAGCAGATGGGAGAGAGTTTGGTGGGAAGGGGAGAATTTGAAATTCAAAATTTTAAAAGAAAATATTTTAAATAAATAAATAAATATTTTTTTAAAAAATAAAAGAAAGAAGTGAACAGATTAATTGAGTGCTATGCTAATAGAATACTTTAAAGTATTTAGTAGCATTGAGGGAAAAAGGCCAAAGTAGCATATTTATATTCACTAATTGAATTTGTAAATTTCCTTAAAAATAAAAATGAAACTTTTCAAACTTCCTTCTTGGTGATATACCTCTTCTGTTTCCAAAGAGTTTTTTGCCCCCATTAATTCTAGTGCCTTTTTATTGCTGTTTTGATTCTAGTCATTGAAATGGATGAAAATAATGGACTTTTGCTAATAGAACTGAATCCTCCTAACCCTTGGGATGCAGACCCTCATCCTCCTGAAGACTTAGCTTTTGGAGAGGTGCAGGTAATGATGATGATGATGATGATGATAACAATTTCTATAGCATTTCAAAGATTGCAAAGTGCTTTACATGTATTATCTCATTTGAACCTCACAGTCCCTCTGTAAAGTATTAGGTTCAGAGAGCTTTAAGTGACTCACTCACGGTGTCAGAGGCAAAATTTGAACCTAGCTCTTCCTAACTTCATATCCATCACTGCTTTATCATTCTGACCCTATGTCCAGGCTTATTAAATTCAAGAACATTCAACAAGCATAGATTAGACAAGTACTACATGCCAAGCACTGTGCAAGTTGTGTGTGTGTATGTGTGTGTGTGTGTGTGTGTGTGTGTGTGTGTGTGTGATATTCAGGCACAGAATAGTAAACTTGGATAAAACCCAAGCCCCTATCCACACACATGAATAATTGTCACGTAGGAGAAAGGAATCAGGTACACAAATAAAACATCTTCTGGGCTCTCTACATCTATTTTCATTCCTTCATCAAGTTTAGTAAACAACATTCCTAGCCTTGATCCTATTCGCGAATAAAAACCAGTTTCTGAGAATTTTTATGTTTATCTAGATGATTGCATTCTCCTCTCCATGCAATACAAAGATTCAACAAATGCCAATCTTTCTGTGGTTCTCAGAGAGCACACAACCTTCCCCATCCCACCCCTCCTCCCCAACTCTATTTCTTTCCGTGTGGCTTGAGTTATAAATCTAAAGAATGTGGCTAGTGTCAGTTTACCCATCAGAATAGCTATGAGCTTGCATTTAAGTCCAGAAGTCCTGTTTCCTCCCCAAATCTGTTATATTTCATTGATCCCTGGTAAAATGACAGGCTAACTACATCAGCAGACATAGACGTGCCAATTTTTGTATAATATTTTTAACTCTTTGGCATATAACTAGTAAGAGGAATAAAATAATAATTAATGCGCTATCTATTCATGCCTCCAGCTTCTTCCAGACTTAGGCAGACTTAAATTAGTTTATTACCATGGCTTTAAACCTAGGAGATTTAGGACATAGTCATTCTCATTCCCAGGATAAAGCTTCACATCCTGAACCTGACTGACAGTTTGTGACACTGAGACATAGCTTTGTTAGAATCCCTGACATGGGCAGAAGCTCCTGTGATTGTTTTGTTTTCCTGCTGGTTGCTCTGCTAGGGCCATCCCTCCAACCTCTTCTGCTTAGCTCTGCAATCAATAATAACCCAAAGACATCACAGTCTTATGGATATGATGTGATATCTGATTTTACTAATCCTGTTACTGTGTTTTTCTAAAAGCATCTAACTCAGTAGAACAAAATGCAAAGACCACCATCTTGCAAAGTGTCTGCTATATCCATTTGATATTTAAATTATGCCACATTGTATAGCAGACACTTTGGAAGTAGCTTTGTTCAGGATTCTTCTAACTGTGGATGTCCCCAAGGACTCTTACCTGGGTTCTCCATACTATTTTGCTTGCTAATCTCATCAGCTGATGAATCTCATGACCCCTCTCCTGAACTCCCATCTCACATCTCCAACTGATTATTAGACATCTCAAAGTGGATATCTCATAGACATCTTGAACTCATTATCTTTCCTTACAGATCCTCTCCCATTCATAACTTCCCTTTCACCGTCAATCAATCAGTCAGTCAAGTTACTAAGACCTGTTAAGTGCCAGGCACTGTACTTAGTGCTGGGGAGACAAAGAAAGGTAAAAGACAATCCCTTACAGATCCTCTCCCATTCATAACTTCCCTTTCACCGTCAATCAATCAGTCAGTCAAGTTACTAAGACCTGTTAAGTGCCAGGCACTGTACTTAGTGCTGGGGAGACAAAGAAAGGTAAAAGACAATCCCTGTTCTCAAGGAGCCCACCATCTAATGAAGCACTGTCTGATGCAAATAAGTATACACCAACAAGCTATCTACAGGATAAATTAAGAGATAATCAACAGAGGCAAGACAGTGAATTAAGGGGAATCAGAAAAGGCTTTCTGTAGGAGGGGATTTTAGTTGGAACTTACAGGAAGCCAGGGAAGGCAGGAGGCAGAGATGAAGAAGGAAAACATTACAGGTATGAAAACGTCCAGAGTTGGGTGATGGAGTATTTTGTGTGAGGAACAGCAAGGAAGTCCTTGTCTTGAATTGAAGAGTATGTGGTGGTGCTAGTTCTGGTGCTGATGTATAAAGTATAAGAAGACTGGAAGCTAGGGGGTGTGGTGAGGGAGTCTAGGTCATGAAGGCCTTTGCATACCAGGTGGAGAATTATTTATTTGATCCTGCAGATAATTATTTATTTGAACCTGCAGGTGATAGGGAGCCATTGGAGTTTATTGAGTAGGAGAATGACATAGTCAGATCTGTACTTTAAGAGAGATCACTTTGACATCTGAGTACAGGAAACGCTAGAGTAGAGAAACACTTGTGGCAGAGAGACAAGGCTACTGCAATAGTCTATGCATGAGGTGATGAAGACCTACACCCGGTGTGGGGCAGTATGAGAGGAGACAAGGGGGTATATATGAAAAATATAAGGAAGGTAAAATTGACAGGTCTTGGCAACAGATTGTATCTGATATGGGGGGGAGGGGTGGTGAGAGAATGCAGAGTCTAGGATGACAGTTAGGCTGTGAGCGTGGGTGACTGGGAAGATAGTGGTACCTTCAATAAGAATAAGGAAGGCAGGAAAAAGGTAGGGTCTGGAGGAGGAGGGAAGAAATAGTGAGTTCATTTTGCAATATGTTGAATTCAAGCCAGTTCAAAAATGTCTAATAGGCAGTTGGAGATGTAAGACTAGGGGTCAGCAAAGAAGATAGGGTTGAACAAGTAGATATGAAATTGAATTAATTATAAATATATTAATGTATTAATTAAAATATGTATTAACTTTAATACATGGTTGTTGAATTGAAATAGTTGAATTTATAGAAAGAAATAGATAAGAATGGCAAAGGATGAGAAGATATGGAGTAGCTATGATTTGTATTAGGGCAAAGAATGTCTACACTGTCTTTTCTTATGCTATTCCCTATTCGTGTATCTATTTAAACTAGTAGAGTAACCTGGGGCTCAAGATTGCTATTGTAGCCACTTAAGACGTCACACTACCTATTTATGGGGATAGTTTCCTGAACAAACCTATCAGCTCTCAGTATAATTGCTACTGACTCAGTTCATTATTATTTCTCTCCAGGTTCATAAGCATTCTTAGTAGGTATGGATAGATCAGAGATTACTGTCTTTGCACAAATTCTCTCTCTGGCTCATTCTCTACCTCACCTTGAGTTGAAGAAAATCTTTCCTTTTTGGTTGATTTTTCCCTCTCTCAAAGTTTGCACTTATAGGCTTCGAAACAAATGATCATAGATGTTCATACACTTTAATAGCAACTTCAAGTACCATAGAAATTCAAATAAGTATCTTAAGGAGCAGACTTCTGCTGCTGGTTGGGGAGTAGATAGAGGGGTTCCAGTCAATGATCTAAGGATGCAGGGAAAAGGTAGACTGCATTCTGGTAGTCTTTTTTTTTTCCTATGTGTAATCTTGCCTGGTAGGCCTTCTCTTGGGATTCCATTTTGGCTTCCCAAGACTTTAATTTTCTACAAAAACGCCTTGTCTTTCACTCAACTTTTAAGGTTTCATCAGATCATACAAAGAAACATTGTCCACTAACATGCCACTTACAGCAAGCTCAGCCTAAGTGATTCATTTACTGATGAGCAATAAAAGTTAATAATTTTCATGTATATTTTCTTTGTCTATTTACCTTTCTAGATAACATACCTCACCCATGCCTGCATGGATCTCAAATTAGGAGATAAGAAAATGATATTTGACCCTTGGTTAACTGGTCCTGCCTTTGCTAGAGGATGGTGGCTGCTTCACGAGCCTCCCTCGGATTGGCTAGAGAGGCTGTGCCAAGCAGATCTCATTTACATCAGTCACATGCACTCTGATCACTTGAGGTAATCCCGGAAGTCAGTAAAAGAATTAACCTGTCCTTTGGACTTTGAGAGTCAGTCAAACCTTAAACATATTTTCAGTTACTTATGTAGCTGCTGCACACTTTCAATGGGATTCATCTTGGATGAAATGTAGGCCACAATAATGATATTCTATAGGTGTATGGCACCATTATCCATTATGCTTTTTGACAATGATTTTACATATATTCTCCCTCTGTGAGACAGGGTTGAGAAGAAGGAAAGGTGAGGTATGTCTGGAGCAGTTGAAAGTGTTCTATCTCTTGACTCAGAGGAACTCAGATCAAATCTAACCACTGACATTTACTACTTGTGTGTACTTGGGTACATCGCTTAATTTCTCTGTGAAGATAATTTTGATACCCTTACTCAATTTAGTCAATATTTACTCAGATCATTGTGATTTAATGCATGTCAGTGATTATATTGATGATTATATTATTTGTTATTGATTTATAGGACATAGATTTATGCTGTATTAGGTCTGTTATAAGGATTATATTAGCTTGTGTTTCTGTGTTAGTACCTCTTTTATGAGAGAAAATATTTTCCCTTCTCCCTTTTCCTTCTCCCAGTGCATCCCTCTTTGTCACCCCTTCATTTTTTGGGGGGAGGATCATTCCAATGGACTCATATCCATGCCTTTTGTCTATATAGACTTGTTTTAATTGTCCTAATATTGATAAAGTTCTTAGGAGTTACAATCTAGAAGGATGTTGATAGGCTAGAGTGTTGGGTTAAATTGGGTGAAATGAAATTTAATTTGGATAAATATGAAACTTTACACTTGGCTCCAAAAACTCACCTTCATGAGTGCAGAAAGGTGTGAGTGCAACCAGAAAACACTCGTGGGAAAAAAGGATATCTGGGCCATCTGGTTTCTCTTCATCTCTCCTTCTCATTGTCATATTTGCATTTCAGTAGCTTTTGTACTATGCCATTGCACAAAACAGAAAGGTTCCTTTGCTAAGTAATAGATGCAAAATTACCCACTTCCTTCACTGGATTTGTATGAAAACTGTGAATAAGATCAGGTAAACTCAAAGAGGAAGACCTGAAAAAGGATGAGACTGGACTTATAAAGAATATTTTGGCATCATGATCTATACATTTGTCAAAGTCTAAACTCCTTTGTAGCCCACCCTGATAAGAAGGATATCCCACAATTTTAGGAAGTAAGGTACAGACATAAAGAGACTTGTTGAAGAAATTGACCCTGCCTTTTTTTTTTTGGTGTGCATTGTATTAAAAAGGTCTTTAATGAACTGTTGCTTTAAACTTAAAAAAAGAGTCTAGTGACTTTGGTGAACCTACAAGTTATTTTATGAGGCAACAGTGTGACATGGTAATAAAAATATCTGTCTTAGGTTGCATTAAGAATCATAGTGTCCAAATCAAGGAAGGTAATAGTTTCACTGTGTTCTGTCTTGGTCTGGAGTACTGTGTTCTGTTTTGGGCACCATATTTTAGGAAGGACATGGACATCCTGAGTATCTAGAAGAGGGAGACCAGAAAGGTGACAGGGATGGAGAAGGTACATATGGAGATCAGCTGAAGGAACTGGGAATGTTTAACCTGGAGAATGGAAGACTTAGGGGGGACATGATAGATATTGGTAAGTCTAAGAAGAGTTGTCCTGTGGGAGAGATAGGACTTGTTCTAACTGACCTCAACAGGTAGGGCTAGTAGCAAAAAGTGGAAGCTGCAAAGTCTGATCTAGGCTATTAGAGCTGTTCAACGATGCAACAGGCTCACTTGGGAGGCATTAGGTCCCTCTTTGCTGGACATTTTCAAGAAAGACAGGGAATGGTACTAGAAATGTAATTCTTGATCAGGTTATGCATATTTAACTAGATGCCCTGTGAAATCAGGTCTTAACCTTAGATTCTATGATTCCATGGATTTTGTGACCACATCAATTTACAAAACCACCTCTTATGTGATCGCTATCTGTGTTGGTGAAAGAAGTACTCATCTTGATGAAATTAGATATTTTGGAAGGAAGGATTTTTTAAGTACTTACTGTGTGCCAGGCACTGTGCTAGGTGCTTTACAAATATTTTTTCATTTAATCCTTACAATAACCCTGGGAGGTAGGTGCTATTATTATCATCTCTGTTTTATAATTGAGGAAACCGAGGCAGACAGAGGTTAAGTGACTTGCTCAGGGTCACACAGCTAATAAGTATCTTAGGCTAGATTCGAGCTTAGGTCTTCCAGGATTCTATTCACTGTGCCAGATAGCTACCGATTTTAAAGCATTTTTACCAGTTTTGAAGAAAATTACAGACAAGTTAGAACTCAGACATACCTATTTTGATCTTGTTTGCTCCTACTTGATCAAGATGGATTTTTGTTTTGAAAAGTCTTTGCTTTGAAAAAAGCTTGAAAAAAAAATCCAGACATGCTGGATTACATGAAACAGTAGCATCATAGCATCCAAAGTCCACCCTGCTTCTCACAATGTCCTGTTTTGTTGTAACTGTGCACCATAGAAACCAACATTAGAATTATGGAACAATTGGCTCCGTAGTTTGCATGCAATATAATAATAAAATATTACAGCGAAGTTTAATAGGCTTATATAGGGATAAAGGTATTATACTGTGGTGGGGGAAGGCAGGAAGAAAGAAAATTGTTTTATCACACAGTTGCCCTCAGAAAGCACCAAAGGTGGTAAAGAGTGACCTGGACGGAAATATATGGAAATACATCTAGTACATGATTGATTTTTCTTTGCCTGGTCTCCAACAAAATAAAGAGAGAGCCCATTTGTAAGTGGGATCATATCCTTATTTTTGGTGGTATCATTATGGGATCATAGCTTTTGTATGTAGACTAGATCTGCCTTAGTCCAAACCAGCAGGAGGAAGCTGTTGATTTTGTAAAACATAACAACTCCCACCCTCCAAAATGAAGCAAAAAACAATAGGGAAAAAACCAAAACTGTATATTTAAGAAATGAAAATTTAACATTTGAAGATTAATTTTGTTGGGCATTGAATCTGTAAATGAATCTCACTGATGTTGATGTTCATTGTGATTAGTTTTATTTTGGTCCCTCCTGGGACCTGAATCAAAAGTCTCTATTATAGAAAACTTTCAGAGAAATGAAATGTGAAGTATTGTGTATTAAGTATAAATATTAAATAGATGAAAGAAGATTTGGAGGTGGGGCAAGGATGCCTGGAACTCTGATTTTATTTATGTGTGGAACTCTCTGGTTGGAAGACACCTTCCACAAGTGCAGATAAACAAATCCTTTGGGACATCTCCTTTTAGCAGTTTACCAGGCCTCTGAGTGACTTGCCCATGGTCACATAGCTTATATATATCAGAGGCAAAATCTGAACCAGGTTTTCTTGACTTCAAGGATGGGCTTTATCTCTATGCCATACTATCTAACATTAAATAAGGTAGATACGGGCACTAATAAATAACATTAGTTAAATTAGTGAAAAAGAAATTATAATTCAGAATAGATTTCAATCCACATAACTTAATGAAAATCTCAGTCAGTTGAGTTGAAGAATATTTATTGAGCACCTCTGATATGGAAGGCACTGTTCTGGCCACACCATCAAAATATTTTAATACACAAGAATTAATCCATGGCATCAAAAATTAAAGGATTATTTTAAGAACCTTTATTCTCTTGAGGCCTTGGTTTGAAAAAGTGACTGATTTCACCTCATTGCCTTTATTTGATGCTAAAATTTTGCAGAGTAAGAAATCTTTTATAGCACAGTTGGCCACACATTGGACAACCAATAAATATTTTCAGACTAAATGACCTGTATCTGAAATATCGCAAATTCTGATTTGGTAAAGTTAAAATGAAGTTCATATGACCATAGATTTAGAGCTTAAAGGGCCTTTGGGAGTTATCTAGTCTGATCCCCTCTTTTTACAGATGAGACTGAGGCCCAGAGAGTTGAAGTAAATTACTCAGGTTCCCACAGGCAGTAAGCGGCAGAGCTGGGATTTAAACTCAGGTTCTATGACCACAAGCTCACCCTTCTTGCCATTGCTCTACATTGACACCCCAAGTTTGACTGTGTTGTCTGGCTAATAATATTGGCTTTACAATGAGACCAAAGAATAAATACAGATCCTTTAAAAGAAGTCTCTTCCAAAATGAGGCTATCTTATGTGTCTTTCACATCTCAATCCATAGATGAAAATTTCCTCAGTCTTTTGTCCAGGCAGGCCTCTACTGCAGAGGAAAGAAGTTGAAACTAGGGTGTTCTCCATCGGCATTATTGAGATAAGGGCTAGTTTCTATTGCTATTAACCTATAAACCAGGTTGACACATGAATTCCAAGACAGATGATTTGTAAGAGTGGCACCTTTTCCCTGAAAACCTTTCTTGTTATTCCATTCATCTTATGTTTAGATATGAATGGGGTTTTTTTTCTGAAAAATGGGGAAAAAAGTACATTTTTACATGCTTATCCTCTGTGATAATGTATAGAAAGGAATGTTTCTTTCTTATAATGGATATTTCTGTTTCATTCTTTGCTGTTCTCTTCCTGAGCCTAGCTATCCTACTCTGAAGAAGCTTGCTGATAGAAGACCAAACATTCCTATTTATGTTGGAAACACAGAAAGACCTGTGTTTTGGAACCTGAAGCAGAGTGGCGTACCGTTGACCAACATTCACGTGGTACCATTTGGAACTTGGCAGAAGGTCAGACATTTTAGTCTTTTATACACTAAGATGCTTTTTCATGAGGCAATAACTTTAGAACAAACCAAATTAAGAAGATAATTACAACTCTTCACTTGCTTCATGTTGTATAGAAACAGTCTCAAAGTGAGTTTCGGTGTTGGGTGGAACTATACTAAATTAAGCCTTATCAGAGATGAGTTTCCTTTTTCCATATCTGGACAACGGAAATTTATTCAAATTTTAGGGCACTTAATGACTCATCTTTCCCTCAACTGCCAGCCCCTTGGATTATGTGTCCTCCCTTTCACTCTTAATCATTGTGGGATTACTTTTGTTTGCAGTTACTTTTTTCACCTCCCCACTTTCTATTTATTTCTCAACCACTCATAATCTGTTTTTATTTTTGTTCAGACAAGTTTACAAGAATTTCTCTCTTAAATAAAATTAAATCATAATCATCCTATCTAATGGAATTTTCTCAATTATCCTCCTTAACTTCTCTGTAGCATTGCATATAACACATTGCTGGTTCTTTAATCACTCAATTAACACACATTTATTAAGCCCTTACTATATGTTAGTATTAGGTTAAGCCTTGAATATATAAAGAAAAAGCAATAATAGTCCTTGTCATCAAGGAGTTTGTATTCTAAAAGGATACAATCTGTATAAATAAAAACATAAAAGATAAAAAATTGATGGAAGGTGTCCTTAGAGGGGATGGCATCTCTAACTGGGGAAGTAGGGAGGAAGAGAGAGACCAAGAAAGAAGATGGTACTTGGGTTGAATCTTAAAGGAAATCACAGAGTCTAAGAGGTTGGTAGGAATAGCATTTCCAGGCATTGGGAACAGGCAGTGCAAAGGCATAGAGATGAAGTGTCATGTTCAAGGAAAAGTAGACTGATTATGTCTAGATCATACACTATAGAAAGGGAAGTAGAATGTAAGAATATTAGAAAGGCAAGAAAGGGCCAGTTCATGAAATGCTTTAAATAATACCAAAGGGAAGACTTTAAATTTGATCCAGGAGTTAGTAGGGAGCCACTGGAGTTTAGTGAGGAGGAGGATTAAGAGTTGATAATGACATTGTCACACCTACACATAAGGAAAATCATTTTGGTAGTTGAGTGGAGAATGCAGTAGAATAGGGTGATATTTTAGGCAGGGAGACAAAATTAAAAGGTTATTGAAATAATGCAGGTGAGAAACAATGACAGCCTGAACTAGAATGGCGACTGTGTTAGTTCAGAGAAAAGGGATGTATATGAGAGATGTTATAGAGAAAAAAGTTACAAAATTTTGGCAACTGATTGGATATGGGAAGGTAAGCAAGAGAAGATTGGATATGGGAGGGTAAGCAAGAGAAAGAAGTTGAGAATAATACCTAGGTTTTGAATCTGGATTACTGGAAAGATGTTGGTGCCTGAAGGAAAATATCAAAGTTCCAAAGAAGGAATGGTTTGAAGGGAAATAAAATGAATTCTATTCGGGATATGTCGAGTTTGTGATGCCTACAGGTGTCCAAAAGGCAGTTGGTTCTGTGGGACTGAAGCTTAGGAGAGAGATTATAGCTGTACATAAAATCTGAGAGCAATTTTCATAGGATAATAGTTGAACCCAGGGCAGCCGATGATATTACCAAATGAGAAAATATAGGAATAAGAGAGAGGAGGGCTTTGAGGACAAAGACCTAAGGAACACCAATACTTACTAGGTGTAATACAGATGAAGATCCAGCAAAAGAGGAAGGAGCAGTCCAGTAGGAACAGAACAAAAGAATAGTGTGACAAAAATCTAGAGAGGAAAGAATATCCAGGAGGAAGTAGATGTCAGCTTTGTCAAAGGCTGTGGAGAAGTCAGTAAGAATGAAAATCAAAAAGAAGCCATTAGATTTGGAAACTAAGAGATCATTGGGAACTTCAGAGAGAGCAGTTTCAGTTGAACGTAAGATTGGAAACCAGACCACACATCATTTAGAAAAGAGTGAAAGAAAATGGGGCTACTGATTTTAGGTAGCTTTTTCCAATTTATCTGAGGTCAGAAGAAATATTAGATGATTGCTGGCTGACATAGTAGGATCTAGTGTTTTTGTGGGGTTTTGTTTGTTTTTTTAAGGAAGGGGCAATATGTGCATATTTGTAGGGAGAAGAGAAAGCAAGTAGAGCTGAAAAATTGTGAGAGAGTAGAAATAATAATGGAGGCAATCTGCTGGAGAAAACATGAGGGATGATAGAATTGTGGAAATTGTGGGAACCAAACTGACTCTGTCTTGTAAAAGTGATTCCATTTTGAGACCTAAGTTTCATTTTCCTGTAAATTCTATCTGCTTGGTAATCATGGGAATTGAGTGACATACTATTTCACATTCGAAAAAGTCCACTGGCTCCCTCTCCCCTCTCCCAACTCTGGAAACTCACTCATCTCCCTCTCAACTTGGAAAGCCCCTAATCTTTCCTCCAATTAGAAATCAGATTTCTTAATCTTGTATTCTGGTTTATATCCTGTTAATTGTTTTCTTTTAATGCAATAAAAATCTATCTCCCCCTGTTTTCAGGATCCAGTGCCAAGCTAAGAAAGCCTAGTTCCAATCTGTTATATAATTGGCATGCATTGATTAAAAAAAAAATCGATATTCTCAGAAACTCGAACATTTGTTTCCTTAGTTATTTCAGATTTCAGCCATCACATGGGGTGGTATCAAGGACATATGTAGAGGGACTGGCCTTGGCAAGCAGAAGACCTCACTCCCTCCACATTAGAGAATGGAATGAAGGATGAAATAATGCAGATATGAGGTGAGGAGGAGGAAAGAAGAGCAAACCTTTAATGAATTTTTACAAGTATGAGGTAAAATCCTTAGTAGAGAGGGTAGGGAGAAAGGTACAGTGGGAGTTTTAAGGAAAAGAGAAAAGTTTTGGAGAAGTTGCTATGATCAATAAGAACAGAAATAAATTAGGGAAGAGTAGTAGAATTGCCTTGCTGTTATGAGAGGCTGATCAAAATTAGCTAGCATAAAATTGTAGTGGATTCAGTCAGCATAGTTTCATGATTTCTTTCTGGCAAACTGATTGAGTACTAGGAAAGTAGGGTGTTTGAGGAAACATCAACATGTGTGTTGAAATCTACTGGAATGAGGGAAGGATTTGAGATAGAAAGACTAAGCAAGGACTGAACTCAGTGAAGAAAGAAGAGGAATGTCCTGAAGGTGAGTAGATAATAGCTAACAGAATCTGGTTTAGGTGATAGATGTGGATTCAGTGACCCTTAATGGAGGAGAGGTTACTGAGTGATAGTAGTAGAAGGATAATCTGGAAGTGTCACTGGGGGAGTAAGGAATATTCCAATTCCCCTATCAGAACCATTGAGTTCAAGAGAATAAGCAAAAGTACAACCAATATGAGGAAGGGTGGCAGTTTCACAAGGGAGACAGTAGATGGGAGGAGTGGAAACAGGCTTAAGATGGAAGTAATGGAACAGGCTTTCTAGAAGGCACAGTGGATGAAGGAGTCATATCTGGAGGACACTGAAGTATAGGGTTGATGAAGATGGGAATGAGGAAGCAATTAGTTGAGGTTGGTAGATTGTTCTTTGGCAACTGACTGCTTTGTGTTACATGGATAGGGAGAATAGGAAGGGATAAGAATGTATTAATCATTGGGAAATGAATCTAGATAGAGTAGCAGCAAAGTCTGCTGATGAAGGCTGGGGACTATAAGGTTCACAGACAAGCTGTGTCAGTACAGCTCAAACCATTGTGTTGCGAATTGGGGAAAGCCTGTCAGGGTTGTGGCCATAGCTCCATTGTACTTGGGCTAGTTTGGAAACCTAGGGAGAAGACAGGAGGTAATTAATCCTTCAGTGGCTTGCCAGACTCAACCTTGCCAGCTAGAAGGGTCTGCTTGCTGTTATACTCTTGAGCCTGCTCAGAAGCCTAGCTAGGAGGCAAGAGGGGTTAACCTTTGTAACTTTTCCTTCCTTGATTTTTATGACACTGATTGATTCTCCTCCAACGTATCTAACCATTTCTTTTCTAACTCTTTCCTCAAATGTAGATATTCTCCAACATTTTTTCTTCAGTCTGTTTCTCTCCTCTCTCTCACTTGTTGATTTTATTCACTATCAAGGCATTAATTACCTGTGTGTTGGCAACTTCCAAATTCTGATCTCTAACCCCTCTCCCAGAATTCTAGTCGTAAAGTCATAAATGTAGAACTGGAAAGGACCTTAGAAACCAAGTAGTACAACTGCCTCATTTATCTGTAGAAAAACTGATGCTCAGAGAGATTAAGTGATAACTTGCCCAAAGTCACATATTTAGTAAGTGGCAGAGATGGGATTTGAACAGAGGCTTCCTAACTCCAGATAAAGCATTCTTTTCTGTGCCCTACTCTTCTTTCCATGTCCTATATTCCTCATTGCCTGCCGGTCATCTCCCCTTGAGCTTTCTGTCAATGCCTCAAGCTTAATATGGTCAAAATTGAACCCATCTTCTCCCCTAAACCTGCTTCTTTTCCTGACTTCTCTCTTCCTATTAATGGCACCACCAATTCTTATAGTCACTTATCCTCAAACCTTAGGGTCATCTTTGACTCCTCTTTTCCCCACATTCAATAAGCAGCCAAGTCCTACAGATCCTACCTCCAGAATGTCTCGTAGCTCTATCACCTCCTTCCCATTATTTCTACTTCCACCCTAATTTAGGTCCTCAAAATTTCTCTTCTGGATTATTATAATTGCCTCCTGGTGAACTCTTCCATTTCCAGTGTCTTTCAACTCCAGTCCATCCTCTACAGCATTGCCAGAGTAACCCTCCTACATGTAGCTCTGATCACATTATGTCCCTGCTCAGAAATCCCCAACAGCTCCCCACTGCCTACAGATGAGAGGCCCAAATTCCTTAGTCTATCATTTGAGAACTTACCCAACTATACCCCAGTCTACCTTATCTTCCCTTAGTTCACTACTCTCCCTCAGATACCTTTGTTTAGGCCATTCCCTCTGCTGATATTGTTCTCTTACTCTATCTTTTTCTGTTGAAATTTTATTCAAATACCTCTTTCTCTTTCATGGGACCTCCCCTGATATCCAGGGCTGATGCAGTCTCTCTTTCTTTTTCCTGGATTTCCATAGAGCTTCTGTTACATACTTATCATACTCGACTTTGTATTTTATTTTAGTACATTTAATCCTTCCTACCAGGTTGCAGGACCCTCAAGGACAAGGACTTTCATTTTTTTCACTCCCCTCAGGTTACCTGGCAGACAGTAGTAGGTACCTGATAAACAACTGTTGAATAAATGTTGAAAAGCCAAGCTGACAATCATAGATATTGTTATTATTGTTTGATTCCAGGTAGATCAGAATCTTCGATTCATGATCTTAATGGATGGTGTTCACCCTGAAATGGACACTTGCATCATTGTGGAGTATAAGGGTATGGTATCCTTAAATGCTTTTCCAGCATGAGATATATTGTCCATAGAAAGTATCACAGGAACTTCGTATAGATTTTAATCAAATGCAACCTTCCTCTGTTCTTTATTTTCCTAATTTTTATTGGGTGTAAGACATTGCAACCTTCCTCTTTTTTTCTTTTCCTATGTATGTATACAGTGGTGTACATTCTAATCTTAGCCCAAAGACTCCTTTGTTAGAGTAGGCAGATATTCTGTGGAATAAAATCCTGATAATTGGATTTACTCATCTGCTTAAGGTGTTAACTGTGCTAACTGTGTTAACTCTTTTATGTTTTGTATCGAAACCTTTGGCATTTTGCCTTGTATAATAAAATCAGTGACTAGCCCTTTTGTTTGACACTGTAAGTTTAATCCTTTTTTTCATATTTTTGAAAGGAAGAAAAAAAAGTATAACAGTATCATTTATATTTAAATAATGCTCTAAGTTTGCAGAGCATTTTGCTCACAACAACCACCTGAGGTAAGTAGTGTAAGTACTATCCTAATTTTACAGATGTGGAAACTGAGGCAGAAAGGTGGAATGATTTATTAAATCATACACATAGTAATGTGAATTCAAATGTGAGTAAGTTCAATCTTTATCCAGAATTTGAAAATGGGCGTATTCTGACTTCAAGTCAGGGACTTTCCACTGTACCATATTGCCTCTTATTATTATTATGGTTACATAATTTTAAAACTCATACAAACAGTCATCAAGTACCTTCTATGTGTATAGCTCTGTGCTAGGTATTAGAGAAACAAAGATGAAAAAAATTATATGGTCCCTGCCCTCAAGGAACTTACAATCCATTAGAGAGAGAGAAAAATAAGGACTTAATGAGGTAGAGACGAAGATGACAGAGAAGATGGTTTGTGTAAATGCATGGAGGCAGAAAAGGACAAGATGAGATCATGGAGCTAGTAACAGCCCAGTTTCACTGGGACATACACTATATGGAAGGACTGATTGGAAATAAAGCTGGAATGGTAATGAGGAGGGATGAAGTGACTGGAGGCTACAGTGGTGATGGAGGAGATGATACACCCCGAAAGAGAAGTGGACAGGGAGTTACAGGCACACAGAAGAATTGCACAGTTCTGGATAATAGAAGTAGAATGATTGTGGGTGATAATGAGATCAAAAGCATGACTACCTTTTGGCTGGATTGAGGTGAAGTGAAGATGCAGGTGATGGGAGCTCAAAAAACTGATGAGCTGGGAAGCCAAGGTGTTTGAGGGAACATCCATGTTTATATAGAGGTGCCTAAACTCAAGGGTTAGGCTTATGATGGATAAGAAGACTAAGATTCAAGTTCTGAACCCCTTGAGAAAGGAAGGAAAAGGATCTAGGGACAGAGAAGCTACCAGGATCACAATACACAAATTCCTCAGCCTGGCCTTTAAGGTTATTTGTAATCTGGCTCCAATGTATCTTTCCATTCTTAATTCACATTATTCTCATTCAAACACTGTGTCTTCCAGCAAGGTTGAATTATTAGCTGTTCCCTAAACTCCACATTCCATCTCTCCTTTCCATGCATTTGCACAAACTGTACCCCATGCATAAATGGAAAGTAATCCCTTCTCATCTCTGCTGCTCAGAATCCTTATTCTCTGTTAAGGCTCAGCTCATCTGCCACCACATCCAAGAAGCCCTCCTTAATACCCCGACTTAGTGCTCTCTCTCTCCTTAGATGACCTTGGATGTTGTAACCCCCCAATAGGAATGAAAGCTGTTCGTGGGTAGGGATGAGTATTGTTGTCTTTGTACTTCTTCCTCCTCCCCCCCACCTAGCATAATACCTAGCACAAAGTAGACCCCTGATAAATGTTTGTTGAATTAACTAGAATTACATTAAGGATTCAACCTTGAGAATCTTGCCCCTTCTGTTTTTGCCTAGGTCATAAAATCCTCAATACAGTGGACTGTACCCGACCTAATGGGGGGAGACTTCCTGAGAAGGTTGATCTGATGATGAGTGATTTTGCTGGAGGAGCATCTGGCTTTCCAATGACATTCAGTGGTGGAAAGTTTACTGGTAACTTAAATTGTTAAGAATTAGACACACATGCCTTTTGAGGAACCTGTTGAATATGTGTCTATGGGATAGGAAAGGTCCCAACTTGGTTAGTCAACTTCAAATTAAAGCTGTTCATGCACTGATGATGTCCTCCTCCTTGGTGAAATGTGACCTCTCATCACTTCAGGATCACAGATCTAGAGCTGGAACACAGATCTAGAACCTCATGGACCATCTAGTCGAACCTCTTTATTGTACAGATAAATAAATTAACCCCCCAAAAGAGGTTAAAGGTCATATAGGTAGTAAGTGCCAGAGTCAGGATTTGAATTGAGGTCATCTGATTCCAGTGTTCTTCCCACTGTGCCACCATATGGTAAGAAAAAGAGAAATACAATATCAGTTCACAGCTGGTATCATTCTCTCCACCCCTAATCCCCCAAAAGATAGCTATAGCTCAAAAGCAGAAGCACAAACTTTCCAACTCAAGCCATTATAAATTTCTCCCTATTCCTTCCTCAGATGTTTCCCCCTATACCCTAAAAGAAACATGTTGAGGTCAGTTACCAAAGTAAAATCTTCCTCCAAAGGTCATAATTGGAAAGCATGGAACTCTTCCTTTCCTCTACCAACATACACACATGCACCTAGTAGTCTATACCTAGAGATGTTTCAATTGTGAGTGGGTTGGCTCTATTTTCTATAGGTTAGAAGTCAAAGCAAAGATTACTCAGACCTTTCCTTAAATTCTATTCTTTTATTTCATTAAGTCATCCATCTATCCATTAATACATACCTACCACGTGCATCAATGTCCCTGGGGGGTAGAGTATATACATATACATACATACATATATATATATATATATATATATATATATATATATATGTGTGTGTGTGTGTGTGTGTGTGTGTATTTTAAATATACATATATATATACATATATATGTATATGTATATATATATATATATATATGTATGCCACCAAGAAGTTTCTTCTACTTTACTTATGAAATCAGAATGCAAGAGTTATAGTGGTCATCAGAATTAAGCATGCCATGCAGAAGTCTAGGACAGGACTGAATTAACAGTGAAAATCAGAGTCTGTATAGTACTCTGCCATCTGAGAATACATGCTCATCCAGAGACATTTGGGGTTTCAGTTCAATTAGATATTTATTTGTTTGTTAATCTTCCACTATAAGCAATCTGGGAGGCAATATAACATAGTTGATAGGGAGTTGACTGTGTATCTAGGAAGACTGACATTCAAAGTCTGCCCTGAACACCTGCTGTTTCACTGCATAATCGTTTTTTCAGTCCAAAAGCTGGTTTATAATCTTTCATCGTGTAATCATCACATGGTATAATTCTGTTTGTCATGCTGCTTAAAAGGTAAACAGATCAACAATGTATTCACCAGTGGCTTATGGAGACACATTTATCTCTAGTGCTATTGCAAACCTGGAGCCTAGAATTCTCAGCACATGCATTGTCTATGTGCAAACAAACCAGCTAAAGCCCAGTTGTACTGTTTTTATTACATTATATATAATAATATATTATATTATTGTATAATATTATATCATATATAGTAATACATTATATTATTATATTACATATAATAATACACTATGTTATTATATTATATATAATAATACATTATATTATAATAATATATTATATTATTATGTTAAAGCACCCTTCCTTGGAACCAATATGCATGTGGGTGATTAAGAGTTGGGACCTTATACCACATGAAAACAGTCGTCAACAGTTTCAAAAAGATGGAAATTTTGAATGTGATAGATGTATCTGAATATGATACACTGTGGCAGCGCAATGACAAAGTAAACACATCTGATATGAGCGGTGCTGAGGACAGTGTGTCAGATAATGAAACCAATGATAGCAACACAGAATCTTTAGACACAGAATAGGTTTTTTAAGTCTGTACTTCACAACACTGTGGTAAATTTTCTCAAGTGTAATATTTTGACTATAATGCACAAATCAATAATAACTGTGTTAACTTATTTTTCAGACCGGAAAAATGTTCACTAAACTGTCACAAAGAAATAATGTGTGTTGATTTGTGTTATTCAATTTTAACATATATCCACGAGTATTCTGTGTATCCTAATCTTGCACCAAAGACAGTTTAATAATAAATGATTTTTAAGCAATACTGGCACAGGTTTTTTTTAAAGCTTCATATAATGGTCACTTCTGCCGTTCATCTATTTTTACCTTCTGAAATTATTTAAAGCTGCAATCAGCTATTAGAATTATGATTATTACAATATGGAAAAGAATTGTCAAAACTCTTGTCATTACAGAGGAGTGGAAGGCCCAGTTCATTAAAACAGAGAGGAAGAAACTCCTGAACTATAAGGCCCAGCTGGTGAAGGACCTACAACCTAGAATTTATTGTCCTTTTGCTGGATATTTTGTGGAGTCCCACCCATCAGACAAGTATGGCTCATTATATTCAATATCATTTCCTATGAAGTTTTATACCAATGGATAATGAGTGACTCCAAGTGAAAGAGCATGGTATAGTGGAAAGGGTACTGAAATTGTAGCACAGAAAATCTCATTTCAAATGCTGGCTTTTCCATTTGCTACTTCTCAGGCTGTCAATGTTTCATCTGTAAAACAAGGGAGTTAAGCTAGATGACGTCTAAGGTCCCTTCCCACTCTGCATTTTTTGATCCTATGGCCCTAAATGCCACAGAAACCATGAAGAACATGATTAATATAAGGAGCTGACTTTGTGCAAGTTGTTTTATTCTCTGGGCACAGAGTCATACAAATAAGAAGGAACAGAATTAAAATCAAAAACAGTTTGATTCTAAATCTAATGATCTTTCCACACTAGACTGGGCATTTCCTGGATCACTACCTTGAGTTATTTTTTTCATTTTTGAAGTGGCTTTCTAGCAAAGGAAATGTTTTCTTGGGTGTGGTGCTATTAAATGTGTTATGTGGAACATGTATGCTGCCGCGTGCATCACTTTAATCTCTCAGCCAAAAAGAGATAAAGTCAAAATCCTCATAGACCATGCCTGATAGCTCCAATTAGCTCATTCTTCTAAGGGACCTCAAGTTCAAATTTTATTTTCTGGTAAAGAAAGTTACCAGATCATTTCTAAAACTAAACTGTAGCTCAACAGACCCAAGGAACACCTTTTAGCCATAACTGCAGAGTCTCAGCATAGTCTGTGAAGTACAAAACTCCTCAAGGTCATTTCTCCCTTCTTCACACACACTCACACACACCCACTCTGATCTCAAGTAAGGACATGCCCACAGACAATGGGAACAAATTCATTTTGGGGCTCACAAACTACTTTCAACAATACAGGATAAAAAATAGGCTAGATTTTTAACAAAAAAAAATTTTAGCTTCATCTAAATGGGTAGGAGGAGAGAGGGAAGAAAAGATATAGACAAAGTGGGAAGAGTATACGATTACTCAGGCTTTTATCCCAGTCAGATTGTCACAGTCCCTTCTACCTGCCATGAGTGATGACAGCGGCAACCCCAGAGGGAGCCCAGTTATTCTAAACATCCCCTCCCCAAATTGAACAGTCTTGTCTACCATGGCTCCCAATTCTCTTCTCTCCTCCTGAATCTATCTTCCACTCAAGTTCCGTGTGCTAATAGCACAAAGCTGTTTCCTCTCTTTTGTGAGTCCAGTGTGACTGCTTTGTGCAGAAGTGGCACACCTGTCTGATCTCTAGCCTTAGGGGAGAAGAGAAGAGAAGCAAGGCCTTTCTCTGATGAGGCCTTCTATCTCTTGTTTCACATGTTCCCTGAGGGCAGGTTGCTAGGGGCATTCTATCTGTGCCAGCATAAAGACAACATGCTGTTGCCAGTCACATCTCCCTCTGTCTATGTGGAGAGCTTCCGGTTTGATGAGGAGCAAACTCCCTCTTACCATCAGGCCTTCTATCTCCTGCCTTGATATCTCCTGTTTGGTCTCTGGTCTCCTCTTGGAAAGAGTGTCACATTCCACTCATTGGTAAACATTCTCACACCTGGTCATACACTACACATCTCAGTGATTCTGAACACCTCCAAACTCTATACCCTATCCCTCACCACCAAATTCCTTGCTCTCATTCTCCTTGACTCTCCAATACCAAAGTCCAAACCAAACACCATCCACCCCTTCTCCTGAGCCCTCTGGAATGCCTGTTGCATAGGTAACAAACTTCCTTCCATCCTAAATCTTTTCCTCTCCCACTCCTTTAATCTTTTAGCAATCATTGACACCAAGCTCCCCCTGAAGATTCAGACAACTTGGCCAACCTTTACAATATTGGTTATACTCTTACTTATTCTTCTCAGCTCCCTGCTTGAGGAAGGAAAGTTGGAATATTGCTTGCTCCTTGTTAACCACTTTCAGGTTCTTCCCCTACTCCATTCATTCAGTAAGCTCATCTCCTTTGAGGTTCATGCATGAGGTTATATCTACCACCTAATCAAAATCCTGGTAGCTATGGTCTACAGAACTCCAAGTCACTTTCCTTGCATCCTCAATAAATTTAGTACATGGGTCACAATTTCTCTCTCCTCCCCAACTCCTGCCTTTATATTAAAGGACTTCAATATACATATTGACACTCTATCAAATATTGAAACCACTTTGGTTGTTCCTCAACTTATTCACTTCCCACGACCTACTCCTCTCCCTCACCACAACCACACAAAGATCAGATGATCTCCCCCTGTACCCACCTCTCAGATAAGAACCTTTCCTCTTATATTGTACAGAAAAAAATTGAGGCCATTTACCATGAGCTTCCTCTTCTTCCCTCTTCCTCATGTCATATCACTCAGATACTTTTTGCCATTATCTTCTCCTTCAGCCCTGTCTCACATGAAGAGATGGCTTTACTCCTTACTGAGGCCAACCCCTCTACCTGCACAACTAGCTCCATCCCATCCCATCTTCTTGAACAGATTGTCCCTTCTCTCATGCCTACTCCATCACTTAGCTTCTATCTCGCTCAGTCTAATGACTGCTTCCCTACTGCCTACAAACATAGTCATATCTTCCCCATCCTCAAAAAAACTCTCACTTGATCCTTCCATTCCACCTGCCATTCCACATCTCTTTTGCCCTTTGTAGTTAAACTCTTTGAAAAAGCTGTTTACAATAGATTTTCTCTCTTCTCACTCCCTTCTTTATCCCTTACATCTGGCTTCCGACCTTGTCATTCTACCGAGACTGCTCTGTTCAAGATTACCAACGATTTGGATTCCCGAATGCCTTTTCTCCGTTCTCATCCTCCTTCATCTCTTGGTAGCCTTTGACATTATTGATCACTTTCTTCTCTCTAGGTTTTCGGAATACCACTCTTTCCTGGTTTTCCTCCTACCTATCAGACTATTCCTTCTCAGTCTCCTTTGCTATATCCTAATGCAGGTCACACCCTCTAACCCTGGATGTCCTACGGGCCTTGTCCACGGCCTTCTTCTCTTCTCTTTCTATATTGCTTCACTCAGTGATCTCATCAGCTTCCATTGATTTAATTACCATCTCTATGCTGATGATTTTCAAATCTATCTGTCCTGCCCCAACCTCTCTGTTGACCTCTGTTAATCTTTTTTTTTGACCTCTGTTAATCTTGCATCTTCAGCTGCCTTTCAAATATCTCAAATTGGATGTCTAGTAAACTCAATTATGTCCAAAACTGAACTCATTATCTTTTCCCTTAAGTCCTTCCTTCCTCCTAACTTTCTTATTACTATAGAGAGGAACACCACCCTCCAAGTCCCTCAGCTTCACAACTTAGGTGTTATTCTCTACTCCTCACTATCCTTCACCCCTCATACCCAATCTGTTGCCAAGGCCTGTCATCTTTGTGACATTTCTTCAATATGCCCTCTTCTTTCTTCTAACACTGCTACCCTTCTAGTGCAGGTCCTCATCACCTTGCACCTGGACTATTGCATTAGTCTGCTGGTGGGTCTGCCTGCCTCAAGTCTCTCCCCTCTCCAATCCATCCTCCATTCAGCCACCAAAGTGATTTTCTAAAGCACAGATCCAGCTATGTCAACCCCCACCCCTACTCCGTATGTAGAGTATCCTTTATATATCTTGTTTTTACATAGTTGTTTTCTTATTGTCTTCTCTATCAGGCTGTGAGCTACTTGAGAGCAGGGACTGGTTTTTGCCTTTCTCTGTATCTCTAGCACTTCGCATAGGAGGCTCTTAATACTTAATGACTAACTTACTAATCAGTTCAAACCACTATGGCAGCAGGCTATACTGGTAAGGACCCTGGATTTCTAGTCAGAGGGCTTGGGTCCCATCTTTGCCACTGTCTATATGATTTTGAGCAAGTTTAGGTATAGGTTAGATTTATAGCCTCTGTGGTCCCTTCCAACTCAGAGATTCTCTGTCCTAGATTCAAATCCTTGCTCCTCTTAATCACTACCTACGTGGCCTTGGAACAGTCACTTATCTTCTCTAAGCCTCATTTTCCTCATTGGTAAAGAGGTTGAACTAAATTATTCTTCCTTTCAGGTTTCTTCTAGCTCTCAGTATATGATCTTATGACCATGTGATTACAATGGACAATAGAAGTTTAATACAACCACAATTAATAAAATTATTAGGCATCTTCCCTGTTTAGAGATGTTAGCCCAAGGGTAACTTTTACTTTTATCCATCAAAGGAAAAAATATTTTTTGAAAGAAATAAAACAAAACATTTTTTTCTGTGATAATACTAATCTACCAGTGTAAGTCAGTATGTTAGTTCCTTCACTGTGAGAGTGTGTTACTCATTTACAGGTACATTAAGGAAACAAATACCAAAAATGACCCAAATGAACTCAACAACCTCATTAAAAAAATCTCTAATGTTTCTACATGGACCCCTCAGCCTGGTGCTGTACTAGACCTGGGGAGAATGCTGAAGGATCCTACAGACAGGTAAGATTTAAATTACTAACAGAGTGGGGAAAAACCCATTACTGCCACTAGCACTGAGTCATAGCTCATCTACTATGACAATCCCAGATACGCAGCAATCACTTTCTCAGTGGCTCTCATAATCAAAATAATAGTAATAGTAGTCAAAATTAATATAGAGCGTAGTAGATAGAGCATGGGGTGGGCATTAGGAAGACTCATCTTCTTGAGTTCAAATCTGGCCTCAGATACATACTAGCTATGTGACCCTGAGCAAGTCACTTAACCCTGTTTGCCTCACTCTTCTCATCTGTAAAATGAACTGGAGAAGGCAATGGCAAACTACTCTAGTATCTTTGTCAAGAAAACCCCAAATAGGGTCATGAAGAGTTGGACATGACTGAAAAATGACTGAACAGCAACAGATTACAGTTATGAAGTGCTTTATAATCATTACTTTATTTGACCTTCCCAATGAACTTGTGAATTAGTGCAAATGTTATTTACATTTTATGGATGATGATAAAGGAAATCAGAGAGGTTTAATGACTTTATCCACGTCACATAGCTAGTAAGAAAGAGAGCCAGACTTTGAGCCCAAGTAATGTACCTTAAGGTTGGCTTTTTCCTCTATACCATGATTCATTCATTCATTCATCTGACAAATATTTAATAATTGCATAGCATTGTGCTGGGTCTGGTACTGTCATATTTGACACATGGTCTAATTTATCTAGTAAGTATATATAATGTGATTGCTGCATTCAAGACACTGTACTGGGTGCTGGGAGCACAAAGACACAATGAAAAACAGTGCCTGGCCTCAAGGAATTTATGCTACCTTTTGGATTAAGTTAGAAGGTCTCTAGGGATCTCAGAGACAGACATTTGAAGAGAAGTACTTTTTCTCATTCATAGATCATAGGACTTAGAGCCATTAGACACTGAGTGACTATTTAGTCCAACCCCCCCCCCCCAACTTTACAGTTAAGGAAAGTGAGACCATTTGAGGTTAGGTGACTTGGTTAAAGCCATACAACTAGTAAGTAGAAGAAGCTGGGATTCAAACTCAGGTCCAGTAATTCCAAATATGGGTTGTTATTGTTGTTGTTATTTTAGTACACATGACCAGGTTTCTATGTCAATGTGAATATTATCCCACTACCTTGCATTCTCAAGCATGCATTCCTTCAGACCAACACCATTTCCCCAAGACAGGTCCAACAAAGAAAGGAGAGAAGCAAAGATTCCAGCACCTGCTGCATAGCAATAATGATAGCTGGCACATGCATGGTGCTTTATAATGTACAAAGCACTTCACATAACATTATCTTATTTGAGTTCATTGATTAAATATCCCTTAGCACAATAGAAACCAGGCTAGAAATAATAATAATAGCTAACATTTATAATAATATATTATAATTATTGTGTTATAAAATTATATGTGTAACATGTTATAGAACAATAGTATCGTTATTATAAATGGCATTTATGATAACATTTACTTGCTGTGTGTCAAGCACTCTGCTAAACCCTTTACAATTACTATCTCATTTTATCTTCATACCAGCTCTGGGAGATAGGTGCTATTATTATTCCCATTTTACAGATGAAGAAACTGAGATAAACAGAGATCAAGTGACTTGCCCCAGATCACACAGCTAGTGTCTTAGATCACATTTGCAATCAGGTTTTCCTGACTCAAGGCACTACCAGCTTGCCTCAATATTATAATTCTGTTGATATTTTCAGCATGATCCTTTTCTTGTTTCTCATGCTACTATTAGGCTTGTACTAACGACACAATGAGAAATATATGTACCCTCAAACATACAGACAGACACATTTTTGTAAAATAAAAATATTTGCAAAGCATTCCTCCAAGGCTTTAATAGCATGCGCATTTTTTAAAAATCCCAAACCAGAATTAGACTCTTAGCCTTTAGAATTCATTCATACTTATGATTCTTTTTGTAGAAATGTCTAATTAAATCAAGTATAGGTGTCTCCATAAAATGCTCTGCATTCGTAGGCAGTTCTAAACTGTCTACCCTGAGGGAGGTGAGCATTAAACAGTTGTGATGGGAATCTTCCATTTCTTCCTAATTACATTTTATTATGCCATTTCTCCTGGATATCTGGCTGACTCCTGAAACCTGTTTCCTATGAATATTAACCTCACTTGGCTAAAAAAAGATCTGACTCATGGAATAATAATATTAAGGGAAGACTTTTGACATTCCTAAGAGAAGAATGAGAGGAAGAAAGGAATATAGCATCTTTAAAACACCACCCCCTGCCCCTCCTCCAAAAAAGATTTTATTTGTGGAAAAACTTCCCTGAGCAGAGTCTTAGTGACATGTAAATCTTTTCCTCTCAAATAGCTCATTCTGTGTCAGGTGAGATTGCTAGAGCTAATAGTTCTTGCTCCACATCCCCTATACTCAAAATATGGTATTTTCCTTATAGAAATTACTTCCTATTCATTCAATAGTGACTCAGTGAAATTGCTACTGGTAGAGATTACCTATCACTGAGTAAAATTTCCTTCTTCACTCTGGACAGTAGGAGCAATGGTGTTTACTCCCTGTCTATGAGGTGGGATGCAGACAGGTGGCAGTGATTGGGGCAATTAGCAACAATAGAAGGAAAAACCCATCTTAGAAAAAGAAGGCATGGATCTAGAGTCATAATCCAAGAAACTAAATAGGAAAAAGGGAACAGGTAAAGCCAGAACTCAAGTCTAAGTCAAAGGTTGCGAATGGAGCTCATTGCTATAATATAAATCTGGGGGATCAGTTTGGAGGTAAGGATAGCATACTGTGAAAGAGAGTAGTATGTACTGGAGAAAGGATAATTTAGTTGCATCCACATTTTCTCCCTAAAGTAGTATTCTGCTGTGGTATTGACATGATAGTTATATCCTTTCATCTTTCTGTTGCATTGCCCTTGCTGTCATTCTGGGCCCCCATCTCTACCCCTAGAATGCTATGACTTGTTATAATAGCATAAGATGAAAACCTTGACTAATTTGAGAACACATGTGTACATTGTATGGTAGACCAACAGGGCAGTAGGGTACTGGTACTACACAATAAGATTGTTTAAGGCTGGAAGAGCTGTGACATAGTTATCACTCCTCACTCCTTTTCTTGACAAATAGTTCTATTTCTCTGATGAAGAGGAGCAAAGTAAGCCCAATGAACCTCTTCTGCTAGCTCTTCTTCCTTCAGGAACCTCTACAGGAACCATTTCCCAAGACCCAGGTTAAAAAGTAGATCTGGTCAGCTAGAATTTATATGTCTGGGATTAGACTAATCTTATAGTTGTAGGATTCATGTAGGGGCAATTTTTATGCTTCTGACAGTGCTAAAAGTATGCTAAAGGTTCTAGTCCTGGGGAGGGAGTTCTGGTTAGGGAGTCATAGTTGAATAAATATGGTACATTTCTATTTCTAGCAAAGCTGCCAGTCAAGCTAAGGTTAGTATATGAAAAACAAAGTGAATGTCTATTGTTTTGACCATTACCAGGGAGGAACAGGGCTGTAGAAGTACTCAATAACTCCCATAAAGTTCTCAGAGACCTACAGGGCCACCAGTTCTGAGATCCATAATATTAGGTGGTTTGTCAGTTTGATTTTGGGGGCCAAGAACAGATGGACAATAAGGTTTGATCAGTTTGGGAACGTGGTGTTGTCACAGGTCTCCCATGCTGCTGTGGATAAGCTGGCCAGTGGCTGGCTCTATATCTTGTTAGTACTTGGGCTGTATTTGACAACCCCCTAAACTATATAACTTTCCTTTGAACTCATAGTAGGTAGTTAGCATGGTGCAGGTGCACTTATGATCTTGAGCTTTTTGGTTTGAGAGAATTCTGGAGGGATCAGAATAGCTTCAACCATGGCTAAAAATAGGATTTATTGTGAATAAATTACCAAGTGAGCACAAACTGGTTCATGACAATTCACACCTAGGATAATTCATGATAGGTGGGATAAAGTGGCCATACTTTCCAAAAGATGATCCACTTAGGCGGGGCTGTTCCCAGACAAGTGTTGACTTGGGGCCTGAAAGGAGCTGGGATAGTCTAGCTACCAAAGGCTTTTATGTTGCTTGAGCTCCAAGAATAGGAGTTACCCTTCTTTGAATCATGGCCTCCTTTGGTGAAACTGATGGATGCCTTTTCAGAATATGCTTTTAAATACACAAAATAAAATACAAAGGAAACCAATTATATCAAAATACTTATAAAATACTCATTAAAAATTTATAGCCCCTCTCCCTCAAAATCTACCAATGGCTCCCTGTTCTAGAAGAACCACCACACATTGTCCAACAGAGAGCTCTTTCCCATGGTCCCACAGGTAGCCTCTCCTGTCAGGTAGAATAGATAACTGTGGTCTAGGCTTTGGGCACCCCAGGGTACCCAAATACCTAAACATAAACAATCTGGATTAGCACAGAAATCCTAGAAGTCTTTTGCTGGCTCAATAAAATGATCTCGGGGACTCACTATGCGGTGAGTAGATAGTACAGTGGGTTCTGTATGCTCCCTAAAGCATGCTGTCTCATTCAAAGACTTAACAATCTTCCTGAAGAGTAGCCTGTTCTGGAGAGATGTGGTCCACTTGGTATCTCAGATACAATAGGCACCTGATGTTGGTTGAACTTGAACACTGTAAACTTCATAGCATTCGGAGCAGCATCTCTCTTTGGAGATAGAAATATTCCCATACATATACACATATACATACACATACATGTACATATACATATGGAGAAAGAGATAGAGATATATGGAATGCCCTAAAAAGACAACTCTGTATCCTCCTGAAGACTAGTCCTTTAGCTTTAGCTATTGCCATCAAGGAAGTGATGAAACATTTTTCGTAGGGGAATAGAGCAAGAATAATGGTTTAGACATTGGGAAACTTGGCTTTTGGAGATGATGAAAGATGCGAGTAGAAATCTGGATAGCAGCTGGATGTGAATTCATTATTCCTTGAGTCTGAAGTAGCTAGACTATATGCAAGTCATCTAGTAACATCGTTATTTATGCTGTCACTGAAATGGGTCAAATAAATTCTGATACGCAATATTAAATTGACCTTTTTGTTGCTTCCTCTCCTCTCTTGTCCTTTCCTCTCCTCCTCACCCATCTCCTCCCTCCCCCTCTCCTTTCTCTTCTCTTCTCACCTCCCTCCCAGCAAGAGCATCATAAACCCTCCATCTGGGACTAAGATTTATAAAGATTCTTGGGACTTTGAATCGTACTTGAAAACACTGAATGATGCTATAGAAGATGAAATATTTCTTCGCTCATCCTGGATAAAAGAGTACTTCACTTGGGCTGGATTTAAGAATTACAACCTTGTGATCAGGGTATGGCAATAAGGAGTGCTACTATTTATCTTCTGTTTTCTATTAACTTTTATTGTGCTCTATATAGTTTCCATTGGTTTAAAACACTCTAATTTGTTTTTCACTAAGCATTTCTTGTACACTGCACCCAGTTCCTTATGCCCAGGATAGCTTCCTCTATGACTGTTGAATTTCTGTTCATCCCTTAAAGTCCAGCTGAAATATCACTTCCTCCTTGAAGCTCTGTCTGACCTCTCTCCCCTTGGCAATGATCTTTCTCCTCTCAGGCTTCACATAGCCCTTTGTTTTGTACCTTTCCCCTCATTCCCTGCCCCTGCCCCCGTTGGGTGTTATTGGATATTATAGCTCCCCACAGGTGTCACTACCCTTAAAGGACTGTAAGCTGTATGGGGAAGAGACTGCTTCATGTCTAAACTTTGAGACTTAGCCTAACCCTGCCTCTCCCTCAGTGCCTAGCACTGTGCTCAGAGACGTGGTAAGTACTTGATGCTGGTTGAACTTGAACACTGTAAATTTCATAGCATTTAGAGTTGCATCTCTCTTTGGAGATAAAAATATACCTATAGACTTTCATATATATATCCATATGGAGATAGAGCTGTATGATGTGTCCTGAAAAGACTTCTCTGTAGTCTTCTTCATGCTCTTCTAGACTAGTCATTTAGCTCTAGTCACTGCCATCAAGTAAGTGATATTTTTTGTAGGTAGATGATTAAGGGTAATGGTTTACACATTGGGGAAAGCATGGCTTTTGGAAAACAGAAAGCTAAGAAAGCCAAGGTTTCACAATTTCATATATAAAGACTTTTTAAAAAATTATTTAAAGACTAGGTCTCTCTATTGCACTCAGGCTGGAAATAAGGTAGCCATTCACAGGCCTAGCCCCATTGCTATGGATGATTTGACCTGGGCTGGTTTGCCTCTCCTTAGGAAGCCTGGTCGTATCACCACCACCTCAAACACACACCAATTTGTGCACTATGTTGGTGCCAGGCATAGTACACACAGCTCACAAGCTTTAACTCTACTGAAGCTCAGAGCTCCCAGAAATCAAGCATCTTTCATACCTAGCCTCCCTTGCAGCAGGAATTATAGGTCTGCCCAATAACACTACCTCCCTCCTCCAGGATATTCTTTAAAAATTGTCAATTTACTTTTAAACATAATTAGTTTAGGAAAATAATACCAAATAGGGCAAAGCTAACAGGAAAATCCTGTACACAAAAGTCTCAAAACATCATAATGTGACTCTAATGACTCTTTTAAATTCCTACTCCCACCCCATGACAGCTCGTTCTCATCTGTTATAGACTTGGTGACCTCAAAGATCCCTTCCAACTTTGAGATTCTATGATTATAAGCAGTTGGAAGTTTCGATGTTAAATACTGCCTTCCTCCCCATGATACTATTTTGCCACTTATACTAAATTTTTAAAATTTCTCTCTCATCTGTTTTGTTTTTATTTTTTTTTCCTTCTTCTTTCCCTTGCTCAGCCAGTCTCTGTCTAGCTCTGTCCTATCTCCTAGAGTGGTCTCTTTTCTGGAATAGCTTCCTCCCCCCACCCTTTCCCCTGGCTTTCCTAGACCAGCCCTTCTTCCTCCTGGGCTTTCCTCTGCCTTAGAGTGGAGGCATGTATGTACGTCACTTTGTCTCAATTACAAACTTAGAGAATTTGAAAATTGGAACAGAGCTCCATAAAGCCAGATGGACACCAGCTCTTCTCTAAACCATTGCATTTATTTAGAAATAAAATAAAGCATGAAGAGGAGTTGATATGTCATAGGAACTTTTTGCAGGGTTCCATAAGAGTGGCTCAGGTTTACAGATAAGAGTCTTACCAATATTAAATTTGCAGGTTAATATAGCAGATATGCACAGCTTATCAGTTTATTATCATCTGTGGATTGTATCAGCTTTTCTTGATTGGCCTAAGAATAATATTTTTAAATTTAATGAGAGAGAACTGGCTCTGGGGTTCCAGCCCTGCCTCTGGAATATACTGTCTGTGTGACCCTGGGCAAATAACTTAACTTCTCAGTGTCCCCAGGTAACTCTTTTATTAAGATTCTAAATTGACAAAAAGTATTGATGGACACTGATAGAGAAAGTTCCTTATTCTAGAGCTCCTTATACATATGAAATCATAAGTGTGGTTTAAAAAAACAGAATGATTTTAAAAGGCAAATTTCCTCACTGCAGAATTCCTTCCGTGCACCACAGCTCTACTGAAAATGACCTTTCCAAATTATCCAAAGCCCTTTTCAATACTTGACCTTCTGTTGCTATGCTGTTCTTGTACCTGTTGACTACCCTCTTCTCTTCAGTGCCCTCACAGGCCTTCATATCTGTGGTATTCTTCTCTCTTGCTTCTCCTTTCTGTGTTTTCTTGTTTTGTTTTTTGGTGACTCATCTAACTCAGGCAAGAAGTTCAGCAGCCTCACATGGGCCTAATCCCACTACTAATTGGCACAAGAGCTCTGACCAGTTCTTTTTCTGGCCCGGGCCAGTCAACTCTTCAAGAGTTGCCTGGTGACCGCCTTTTCCCTCTCACTCCCAGGGCTTTACCATAGGTGCTGGACTTAGCATAGATAACCAATTAGCTTAGTCCACTGAAGCTCAGAACTCCAAAACTCAAACAATTCACCAGCCACAACCACCCTAGTAGCAGGGATTACAGGCATGTGCCACCATACCTGGCTTGTGTCTCCTTCTCTAATCATTCCATCAGCATTTGTTCACTGACCCTTCTTCCTCTTTTCCTATCCTCACTCAGTTTCCTTCTCTTCTCTATTAGGGTTTTGCCCTTCGGTACCAGTTTCAATTGCTGAGTGTAATTCATTCCCAAACCTATCACCTCTGATTTCCCACCTCAGTCTAGGTCACATCTCCCAATATTTGAAGGAATTTTTTTTAACATGATATCCCATTGCCACCTAAAGTTGAGGAAGGCTAAAAGAAAATCCTTCATCTTTCCATTTAAATGCTGGCCTCTATCCCATTTCACTAGCATCTACCATCTTGCCTGTTCTCCAAGGCTAAAACTTGGAGTGAAAATAAAGCACCTCCTTATTGACAGAATTTAAGGTAATCCCCTGAAACCTGTAAATACTTCCTATATGTGTATATCTATATCTATATCTATATCTATCTATCTATCTATCTATCTATCTATCTATCTATCTATATATGTACACACACACACACACATATATTTCATCATGGTAAAGAAACAATATTCCTAATTCATGAAAATAAACTTTTTCAGCTATTGATTTAGTGAAAAGTGTTTTAAAAAAACCCACCTACCTTATTATCAATTTCCCATCCAACCTTGCCAACATAGGCTACTCTTTCTTCTGGGAGTTTGATTTCTGAGATCTTAACAACCTAATGGTTAATAGTTTGCTTTTCTTCTTATTGCTCTCTCTTTTCCACAGATGATTGAGACGGATGAGGATTTCAACACTTTGCCTACAGGATACAACTATCTGGTTGATTTTCTAGATTTATCCTTTCCAGCAGAAAGACCAAGCCGGGATCACCCATATGAAGAAGTAAGCAACAATCCCTAGGACGCTTGCTTCCTCTGTAACCAGTAGCAAAGAATTGCTGCTCTGCGGCTCTCCTTTATGCATGTCTGTACTGTCGGAGGCAGCCTCCACTATGCCATTTTCCCGTCTCACATATAAGCAACGAAACCCCTTATTAGCAGAAGATGCCAGGGTTGCTACCTAATCATTGATACACAATTCCTTTTCTCTCTGTCCTATTGCTGTCTGCTTCACTGAGTTCCTGGCATCCTTTAAGAACTGTTTACCATCTGTGGCTTTTGGTTCTAGAGCTGGAAGGTACCCCAAAGGCCATCTATTTCAACAGCCTTCAGGTGAGGAAACTGAGGCTCAGGGAAATCTATGCAGACTTACAGAGCTTTAACTATATGCAAATCTAAGTCACTGAGCTAAGTAGATGTTGTGGGGAATATAAAATCCTATAAGATACAGATCTTGTCCTCTCAAAGTTATTATAATCCTTACCTCAACATGCAATCCCCTTGACATAAAGGTAAGAATATACCTGATGCAACAGATAGGTAGGTTCCTAAAATCTGTGTAAATCACATTTTCCATATAAAATTAAATCTAAAACATTGTAAAACACTTTGCTTCCTAAAGCAATCCTGTAGTAAACACTTTTATAAAACTAATAATCACCATCTCATTTTAGTTTGTAAAATCTGGATTTTATTATTATTGTTATTCGGGTATGTTGAACTTTAAATAATTCTAATGTGTAAAAATCCAGGTTTATAAAAACAAAATTAGCTTTAAAAGGAGATTAATTTTAGATTACATAAAATGTAGCCCCCAACGCACCTACCCCACTTTTGATATTTCATCAGATCTGTGATTTCACTGATGTTGGTACTCTCTAGCAATGAAAATTGCAGAGTCCATCCATGACCTTTCATCTTGTCTTTTGTGCATGTCTTCCCAAACTCCTTCCATAGGCAATCTACCCAGTGTACTAGGGACCTTCCTCTAGCTCTCGTGACTTTGCTTGGATACCAGTGGCATGGACAGGACAACTGTATTAAACCTTGATCTTGCCACCTGACCAGTCCACTTTCTTCTCTGATTATATTCTCACCAATAGCATCCTTTTTACTGTTTCTCTTAGTCAGTCAGTAAACATTTTTAAAGCATCTGCTATGTGTCGGGAACTGTGCTAAGCACTGGGAAACAAAGAAAGGTAAAAAATAAAAGTCTCTTAAGGAGATCACAGACTAATGGGGGAGGCAATGTGCAAACAGCTATGTATGAACAAGCCATATATAAGATAAATGGGAAATAGTTAAAAAAGGAAAGTCATAGAGTTAAGGGGGATCAGTAAAGGCTTCTTGTTGAAGGCAGGATTTAAGCCAGGAGGTGGAAATAAGGAGGGAAAACATACAAAGCATGGGGGGCTGTTAGTAAAAATGCACAGAGTCTGAGATGGATTATCTTGTGTGAAGAACAGCAAGGAAGCCAAAGTCATTGGATCAATGAGTACAAGAGGGAGGGGGCTATAAGGTGTAAGAATACTGGAAAGGAGGGCAGGTTATAAAGGGCTTTTAAAACCAACCAGAGGATTTTATATTTGATCCTAGAAATAATAGGGAGCCCCTGGAGTTTATTGAGTAGGGTAGTGACAAGGTCAGACTTGTGTTTTAGGAAGACCACTTTAATATCTCAGAGGAGGATGAATTGTAGTGTGGAGAAATGTGGCAGAGAGACCAACCAGCAGGCTATTGCAATAGTCCAGGCATGAGGTGGTGAGATCCTGCACCAGGGCAGTGGCAGTGTTAGAGGTGAGAAGGGAGTATATGTGAGAAATGTTACAAAGGTAAAATTGAAGGGCCTTGGCAACAGATTGAATTGGGTGGGGGAGGGGTTGACAGAATGAGGAGTCAAGGATGACATGTAGATTGTGATAGTGGGTGCCTAGGAGGATGGTGGCAGTCTCAAAAATAGGTTGAAGTAGGGAAGAATTTTGAGGGAAAAGATGATAAGTTGAGTTTGGAACATTTTGAGTTTGAGATGTCTGTGAGACATCAAGTTCATTCTTGAATAGATAATGTGAGATGCAAGTCCAGAGGTTGGATGAGAGTCACAACTCATGGTTGGTAATAAATTGTAGTCTACTCATGCCACCCATGTGACCCTGTGTGACTCTGGGCACTGAACTCTGTCTGCCTCAATTTGCTCATCTGTAAAATGAACTGGAGAAGGAAATGGCCAACCAGTCTACTATCTTTGCCAAGAAAACCCCAAATGGGGTTACAAAGAGTTATGTGACTGAAAAAAAACAACTTAATATGCCAGGTACTATCTTGAGGCTTGGGGATATAAAGACAAAAATGAAACTGTTCCTGCTTTCCAGGAACTTACATTCAGGAGAAACAACTCTGACCTGATCTCCAGGAACTCATTGACCCCAGATTAGGGCTTGTTTGTTCTCAAAAATAGCTCTGTTTTAATTGATTATAGTTTCATAGGAAACAAATAGAAACATAGGAAACTAGAGCAGTGCTGAGAGGCCTCAGTTTCCCCTGTAAAATAAGAGGCAGCTAGGTAGTGCAGTGGACAGAGTGCCAGACCTGGAGTCAGTAAGACTCATCTTCTTGGGTTCAAATCCGATCTCAGACAATTACTAGCTCAGGGTCACATAGCAGATATTTATGAAACCGAAGGACTTATTGTAAAGTGCCCTCTATAAAACAAAAGTGAGTAACTCCTTTACAACGATCTGGAAATAAATAAAGGATATGAACCTCTGAGTACTTAAAAGTTTTTTTCAGAAAAAGTGTTAGCTTCCCATTTGTGTGTTTTCCCTCCCTCCCCTTCTCTGGAATTCTGCCCTACTTCAAGAGAAGCTTGAAGTGATAGATATCTGCACTGGACCTGTGATTTTATTGGTGTAAGGAGCTCCTACGTCAAGAAATTCCCTGTTCAAATGCAGGTAGGCACCTTCTCTACAAGTTGCAGTCTTAGGGAGTTGTATTATTTTTGTTCAGTTGTTTCAGTTGTGTCAGACTCTTTGTGACCCCATTTGGGGTTTTCTTGGCAAAGATACTGGAGTGGTTTGCCATTTCCTTCTCCAGCTCATTTTACAGAGGAGGAAACTGAGGCAAACAGGGTTAAGTCACTTGTCCAGGGTCACACAGCTAGTAAGTGTCTACATTTGTATTTGACCTCAGCTCTTCATGACTCCATGCCTGGTGCTCTATCCACAGCACCACCTAGCTGTGGAGGGAGTTGTCCAGGGGCATGGAAAAATTAAGTGACTTGCTCACCAGGCTCATATACCCATGCTTTCTGCCTTCCAGTCCTGCTCTCTGCCCATTTTGCTATGTTTTCAGATTAAATTTCATTCCAAAGTATTTATCTCCAATGGTATCATTTTGATGAAAAAAAATCTACTTTGTCTTCTGAGAAAACATTATCTTTGCTACAGACCTATTGCCGTATTAGGCATGTTTATAAAGGAAGCTTTGGGGCCTTCAGTCATTTAGCCTGAGGCTCAGGGAGGAGTGAAGGAAGCCGTTTACCATTTGCAGGTGGTATGTGGTTTGCTTTCAGTAGCTAGCAGTGCCACATCTGTTCAGACTGTTGGTGGCTTAACTCCTCCCCTACCCAGGTGCCAATTTCACAACCCCTAGGTCTGAGGCCTAAATCTGGCACAAGGTGTTCACCTTACTATTTGCTTATGATTCCCATGGTGCTCAATAGATGGACTTCTGCTCGGGCTGTTCCTCTTCTTTCCCTAAGGAGGAAAAAGTCCTCTTGCCTCAGGCAGGAAAGAAAAGGTATAGGATGTCCCTAGAGTTGCTACTTGCCAAACTTTCTGACCTTGGGATTGGAGCTCTGGGTTTTCTGCCTGTGAGTCTCCTATAGAGAAACTTAACCAGTGGCTGAGGACTTTGCTGAGTTTCCTACAGAATTCTACCCACCAGGACATCCAAAAAACATCCAGCATCAACTCCTCAAATTTCCGGAGGGCACCAGCTAGCTAGATTGACTGTTGTATTTTTTTTAACCTTTTATCCTGATCCTCAGACCCTTTCCTGATGCAAGCGATAATTTAATATTTTGCCTTTATACTCTCTTTTATTTCATGAGAAATAGGAAACTGTAACAGATGAGTGAGGAAGGGCACCCCAGTGAGTAGCTGGGACCCAAAGGGCCCTTTGCCTATCTTCCATTCAACAATTGAATTCAATGAGCATTTTCAAGAGCCTGCTATGTTCCAGGTACTATGTTAGGAGCCGGATACAAAGGCAAAAGCAAAACAATATATATGCTATTTGAAATTAAAATTTTATTTATTTATTAAAATTTATAAAATTGTTTTTGAAAATCTCAAAAGACTGCTGCATTCCTAGAGGTCTTTTAGATCACAACCTGTTTCAGTCTAGTCAGTTGTTAGTGTCTGTCTCTGCTCCTCCAATAACTATTTTGTTTTTATTTTGCCTATTTTTTTGTGTGTTTGCTTACCTTTGTATTTGGTGTTTACCTGCTCTGCAACTTTTGGTCTGAGAGCTAGCTGTCTAGGTCACTGGGAAATTAATTGGCTTGCTCTTGGTCACACAGCCAGTATGTGTCAGAGGCAAGATTTGAACTCTGGTCTTCCTGATACCAAGGCTGTCTCTAACCATTATGCATACTGCCTCTAGAATAGACCTGAACAAACTGATCCTTTTTTCAAGTCAGAGCCTTAAAAATGATTCTCTTAGGGTTTAATGTTCCCCCATCCCTTCCTCTCCTTAGGAAAAGGAAGGTGTTATGGTTTGGTGGAAAAAAACATGGAAATAGAACTACTTATTATGAAATAAATTACCTCTTATTAAGTCTGCTACCCATTCCAGTTATGGCTCCCCTCCAAGGCAAAACCAGTTTTGAATTTAACATAAGAGAACAGGACCTTCTATTCACATTCTACTCTCTCTCATTTAGTGAACCTGGCTGGAATCATAAGGCCTCCCCTATTTCTTCCCAGAATATTTCTCAACATTCAGGCCTCCTGGTTCCATCTCTTGTTCACATTTATTACAAAGTTATTAGCATGCACATGAATAGTTCTTCCCCCTACCCCTGGGCAGTAATTAGTTTAATTCAAACACAGCTCATCCTTGAGTGCATAACCAGGTGAATGTTTAAGCTTGGTTATGGGGCCTTGGACAAATGACTTAACTTCTCTGAGATTTTTCTTTGTCTGTAAATAAGGGATAATAAATCTATCCTGCCAACTTCACAGGGTTGCCTTAAGGATCAGATGAGTAGGTGAAAGTTCCTTGTAAACTGCAAAATACTATACAAATAGAAGGTAGTGCTATTATTTATGATTATTCTTAATAAATAAGGTAGCTAGGCTGCAGAGTTGATAGAGCTGCTGGACCTGGAATCAGGAAGACCTGGGTTCAAATGCAGCCACAAACACTTACTAGTTGTATGACCTTGAGCAAGTCTTTTGCCTCAGTTTCCTCATCTGTACAATGGGGATATTAATAGCATCTACCTCCCCAGGGTTATTATGAGAATAAAGTGAGATAAAATTTTTAAGCCTTAAAGTGCAAGATAAGTGCTATTATTATTATTTTTAAAATTATTATTATAGAAGTCATTGGATGGTGTTGAGATCATTCTTAACAGAATCTTTAGGCGAAGGCTGTTGTACTCCCTATTGAATTATTCCACTCCCCAAATGTCAGCTTTGGAGGAGTGTGATAGCCAAGGCCCATCTAGAATTCTATAGAATTATATAGAATTCTAGGAGAACCCAACAAGAAGATAAAACTTCCAATATAGCCTTCCTATTCCAGGGTCCAGCTTTACTATGAAGGAGTTTCCTGAATACCAAAAATCAGTTGAAAAGTCTCCCCTCCACTCCTTTAAATGTGTAAGAATAAACAAGAAGCAACATTGAATAGCCTCGACATACAAAGCAAAATGACTAATACCTTCAGATCCATCTTACTCACATGGAAATTTGATTTATAACATTTTCCCAAAGTTCTCAGACTGTTCCTCTGTCCAGTTCTCCCCAGAAACTTATCTTATTAGAACTATTGCCTCAGTTATAGAATCTGACTTGAAAACATTCTTGTTAACCAGCTATACTAACAAAAATTCACATTTGTAAAACATTTTAAGATTTGCTGTGTACTTTACAAAAATGCTAATCATCATTCTCCATGTGTGTTTTTCTCATGATTTTTTTCCTAATCAAGGATCTGCTCCTAACCTTAACCCACATCTAATTTAATTCTCCCCAAACATGAACTGTAAATCTGTGCCTCTGGGTAGGTCTTTTTTGAGCCATCATCATTATCATCATTTGACACGAAGTAAGGAGTTAATAAAACATTCCTCATTCCTTTTATGGAATTGTCACACTTTAGCCCAAATGAGCTAACCACGGCCAATTCTCCCAGTGCTTTTGACCTAGTTTCTGCAGAACTGTATAATCCTAAATTCCAATACACTTGAAAATGTACTTCCTTTGGCCTTGGCCAAGGTCACAATAAGTAAATATCCTCTTGGAAAGATATAAGAATGGGGAAGCAAATGTAAACATTCTGGCAGTCTGACCTATCTGCTTTTAACACGTGTTTTAAAAGCCCAAACAAAAAAAAATTGCCCAAGCTGGGATTATCAGAAGATTTATTGCAATGAAAGTAGATTCTCCTTATAAAATGTTAAGTTAGGCTGCCATTGTGAGTTGAGAAATGTGCAAAATTTTATGGTAGCATCAAAGAACCAAAACCATTTACAACTGAGGAAGAAGCCTTTCATGACTCACATTTTCTAGGAAACAAAGTTGTTATTACCAATTAAGTTATGTCTGATTCTTCGTGATCCATTTGGGATTTACTTGGCAAAGATACTAGAGTGGTTTGCCATTTTCTTCTCCAGCTCATTGACCTACATCTTTTTACATATATGTGGAAGCACATGCAAGGAACTCATTACGAGTCAGATTGTTTCATTCATTTTATTTTTTATCTTCAGTGCCTCGCACTTAGCAGGCACTTAATAAATACTCATGGATTGGTTGCTACTTTTTTAACAGGCTGCAGTATCCCAAGTGGCCATTAGAAGGCAAGCCTTACTATTTCCTGAGCTACTTTCCCTCCTCAACTTTAGCAACAGGACTCCAACCTTGGCTCAAACACAGATTTTTTTAGCTCCTGGGTGAGCTGGTTCAATCTACAGAGGGATGAAATGAAATGTGAAAATATGAAATTTACTATCTATACTCTGCTTAGTGCTCTTACTTCTTAGATGCATTCTAGTATCTTAGGTCTTTTCCCTCAGTACTCATAGATTCATTTAATATGTTTGATAACAACACGTTTAATAACATGGAATTAAGAAAGAAGATAGAAAAAGAAATATAAATTCTTCCCCCAGCACTACTGCCCCTTCCAGATCTTTGATTTGGATAGAAAAATGCCTTACCTCATAAAAAGAGTAGAAGAAGGAAAGACTTTCACTTTCCTATCTCCTCCTCCCCACTGGCCTCCGAATCAAAACAATGCAGGAAAGAGCTTATTGATTCTGAGCAATGCTGGTCATGGATGTGGTTCTCACTGCCTGGCTTGGCTGCTTGGTTGCCCCCACGTCTAGGTCACCACTGTTGCTTAAGTCGTCAATTATTGTCTTCAAATTCTTGGTTCTGTCTATCAAGAGGACCACCGGTGATCCCAGAAACCACCAGTGATCCTTTCCCATGTCAGGCTCTCCGAAACAGTTCTCTCTTTCTTTCTCAACTCTGCTCCTCTATCTCCCTCTCTCTCTTTCTTTCCCTTTCTCTTTCTTTCTTTTCCTGTCTCTGCTTCTCTATTTGTCTTTCTGTTTTTCTCCCTTTACGAATCGAGGAGAGGTTTTATTTAACATGATAGGAAAATGCAAAAATTCATACCCAATCACAAAAATGGTCAAAACAGTTCTTGACCTGAAATAGTCCTCTTCCCCTCCCCTCAGCCCGTATAGTCCATATGAGTCCAGAGTACCAGAGAAGGGAAAAGTCCAGGTTGCCCTATCTTTAAACCTTTACTCTATCTCATCTAGAGTAAGGAAGAACGTAGATTCCCAGGCTTCTCTCCAGGGAATTCACTCTGCTTTGGCTCTGAATTTCAGGGTATTTCCTCCTGTTTCTAAATAGGTGCTTGGTGAGTGAGGCCATGTTTTCCATTTGTTATTAACCCATCTCACTCTCCCTAAGGAGGCAGAGTTCTACCCTTCTCTTTCCCTCTCCCAGTCTCCCTATTTTGGTGAATACTCCATCTCCCTTTGAAAGTTGAACTCAAGATCCACCTCAAGTGTGTGAAGTTACACCATGAAAATGCTATTAACTTCAGATCCTCATGTCTTTAGTAAGTCTGTGGCTGTGAATTTAACCATCAATGCCAGAGTAAAAAAGGCCACTCAACAACAGGTATTTAGAACTAAACCAATTCACACCTTTTCAAAGGGAATTTCATACTTTGTTGAAGAGATAGCAGAAGGGAGAGAGGAGAGCACCCCGTACATCTAGGTGCTTGCCTGGACGTGTCTTGCTACACTGTGCATTCCCGTGCCACCAGTGGCTATTGCTTCCAGATTGTTAATGTTGTGGGGGCCTGTACCCAAATGCACAACGTACATCTACAATGTTGTTTGATTGTCCATTCCAGATAAGGAGCCGGGTTGGTGTTATCAGGCATGTGGTGAAGCATGGGTTGCTCTGGGATGACTTATATATAGGATTCCAAACCCGACTCCAGCGTGATCCTGACATTTATCATCATCTGTAAGTACAAAAATCATCTTCCCCTAAGGGCATTTAGAGGGACACTCACAGGTCCATCCTTTTATAAAGGTACAGTAATTGACTACTTATATATTTTGGTTCTAGAACACTGGGAAGATTCTAATGCCATCCACAATGTCTTGTATTTTATCTGCTGGCTAATACTTGAAACTCCCCCCTTAGAACTTTTTGTCCTTTGACAAGGCTTTGTTCACCCACTAAAAGGGCATAATTTAAGCTATCACTCATTTATACCTTAATATGAATTAGTTCCATGATTTGTTGTTGTTTTCCCCCGAAAACAATGTTTGGTTTTGTTTTTTTCAGAAAGCAAGTTTTGATGTTGGAAGAGAGGTAGAGAGTGTACAGGCACTGGACACACTAAGGGAGAGAATACCACCTGGGTTGGGGGGGAGGTTTGTGGGAAGAGGCTAAGGAAAAAGGGAAGAACCAGGAGACTGGGCCTGCTGAAGATCTACTTAGCCTGCTCATGAAATTTTGCTTTTGTCTGGCATCCTATGCAAGCTGAGGGGGTGGGGGATAAATTAAAGGAGGTACCTCTTTCCTGTTTCCTGATCATGTACCTTCTAAAAATAACCTTGATAGGTATCTATATAGTATATTCCATTTGGTAGTATAGTTTTAAATTTCATAATAACAAAAAATTTGAAAAGGATCACCTTTGTTCTTTATATATTGCTAAATAAATGTCCAATGAAGGGTAAACTGCCCTTCACCAGCCAACACATATACTGAAAATGGAAGGGCCGTTTGCTGCATCTTTACCCTTCAAGGTTTCCATTAGGACCTCCTTCCCCTGCAAGAACCCTGGATGACACCTTGAGATAATAAAAATATTCAAGTATTCTTCCAAATTCTAGTCTAATGCTCAATCATGCTATGGAGGCGACTCTGGGTTCTTAAAGGTGTATCAGGTTTACTTAAAATCAGTATATCTGTTTCTTCTTATATCAATCATGATAAAAGAAAAAAAATTTTAGTAATTATTTGGTGTTGCATGACTATCTGCTGCACAGAGTATGGGGTGCTATAATTATCTTCAGAATATTGCTATATCTTGTATGTAATTGAGGGTCAGCTGGTAAGCGCATCCTAGCAATGCAAGAGCAATTAAAAATACTTGTCCTATTTCAACTTTTTCCCTAGGTTTTGGAATCATTTTCAAATAAAACTTCCCTTAACACCACCAAACTGGAAGTCCTTTTTGATGCAACAAGTATAGACTACTACGTAGTAAGTCATTAATTAAGAAAATATCTTTATTATGTAACAAGATAGTACAGCTTCAATTTTGTTTTATTCCACTCATATTATATAAGCAGAGATTGTGTTTGTAAGGGAAGTGAATACCTTTCAGGAGATCAATGGAAGTGGTAGTAGCCAGTATTAGAGAAAGACAGATGGGGAATAAATTGTAATGGCCAGAGTGTTGGACTAGAAGCCAGGAGACTGGAGTCAGAAGAAGAAATAATAGAAATAAAAATATGAATAAAAAGAAGAACCAGAGAGATTGGGTGGTGGGGGGAGGCAAGTAAGGGAATATAGCGTCACAGAGGCCAAAGGAAAAGAGAATTTCAGGAAAGAGGGACTAGTCAACACTAGCAAATGCTGAAGAGAGAATAAGGAGGATGAGGACTGAGAAAAGACCATTATATTTTTCTGTTAGGTTATAGGTAACCTTGAAGAGAGTAGTTTCAATGATATGGTAGGAGTCTTTTTTTAGGAAAGAAGAGAATTGAGCTTCTTTGTGGGTAGAGAGAAAAAAGCTAGTGGAGAGAGAGATTAAAGATACTGGAGCAAAGGGGGGACAGGTATAATAGATAGGTTTAGGTTCCAGAATAAGAAGGAGAGGATGAAATCCAGGGCACATATTGAAAGGTTAGCCTTGGAAAAGAGAAGAGATACCTTTTGCCCCCAAGGAAGAGTGCGGAAAGAGATTGATAAAGATACAGAGAAATATTGGTGCTGTGAAGAGAATATGGCAACATGTAAAGAAAGAGTAGGATTGGAAAGTTTGAGCTAGGTGGTCATGATATTTTTAGTAACACAGGAGGTGAGGTCTCCCTAACTAAGAGTTAGGCAGGCTAGGAATAGTATTAGCAGTTAAGAGCAGATACTGAGGAAAATTCTGTACTTGACAAGAGATGAACAAAATATTCCCTGAATAGTAGTGGGGGCCCAGTTGGATTGGACTGAAGTCAGTCAGTACATTTTCTTGGTTGTATGAAGTGGACAAGGATAGGGTCCAGACCTGTGTGATTCCATTGGCATTGGGAACTCCCAGGTGAGGAAATTCCTACCAGTTCAGATTAGCAACAGTTCTGCAACTTATAGTCTTAAAGAGTTCCCAAGAACAGTGAGAAGCCAGGGGGTCACACAGCCAAGTACCAAAAGCAGGGCTTGAATTGGTCTTCATGGCTTCAACAACAGCTCTCTATCCACTCTGTCAGGTTGCTTCTTGACTATCTAGAATAGTTGCTTAATAATTAAAACTTTTTAGAAATCAATTTACATAAAAAACACTGGCAGCCTAGTAGCAAGAGCAGAGAAAGCGGACACTAGGACTGACCTGGGATTAACCTGATAGACATGGTTAAAGGTTAAGAGGGCAAGGGATTCTAGGTTGCTTCAGAGGGCAGCATTGAAATGGTTGACCATAGAAACTAGGTTGAATAAACTAGGTTAATTAATCTATAACAATAATAATAATAACTAGCATTTATACAGCACTTTGCAAAGTGCTTTACTTATGTTATCTCTTTTAGAAGATTGGAAGGGATCAACAGATTAGAAGCTTGATGAGCTTTCAGATAGAAGCAGGTTCAGTAAGTATACTGAGGTAGAAATTATGGAATGTATGGCTATTGTGGCCACAGTAGGGAAGATCCAAGTTCAAATTTGAGATTTTGTAGGTGGAACAGTTCCAAGTTTTGAAATCCAAGATATTCCCATCTGGTAGGTGGCTAAAGTAAAGCGAAGTCTGTAGGAGCTGCAAGGTCAAAGAATTTCAAAGTCCATGTGTGAATGTTGAAACAGCTTCATTGTGGAGGTATTATTTCTACTTTAGTAAAGTATTGCACGTCTGAATGATTTAGTCAATATATCATAGTGAATCTGCAAAAAGCCAGGAGAGCACAAAATGTGATTCATGCTTGTATCTCAAAACACACCACCTCTCTCATATACTTTTCACTTCATCTCCTAGAAGGAATACTTTGAATTAAAGAGGGGGAGGGGCAAGGGAAGATACTTGAACCTCAATTATCTTTATTAGAAATGACTAAAATGAGGCTCCATATTGTTATTGATTCCTAACTTCTCTAATTTACAGGAATCTCAAGCAATATGAAATGTGAAGAATTTATTGACATTACCTCCTGAAGAGCAGGCTACAAGATAACACTAGTCTCATTATGAAGCAATTAATATTATTAGCAGTTGATTGTCATACTTTATAATTTATATGATCTTTTTCCTTTTGAGACACATTTTCTTACATACATACTGATACAGCTGACATTAACAAATCCAATGCTTCACCAAAATGTCAGTCTCAATAATTTCTTGGTTATCCAATCCAAAATACTCTGTTCAAATATTCATAAACCAGAAAGAGAAACAATGCCTATTGAAAACAATTACATAAATTATTAAAAAACAATCGTTGAATTCTGTTTAACAAACGTGTATTAGAGGCAGCTAGGTGGTAGAGTAAATAAAGCACTGGATTTGGAGTCAAGACCTGTTCAAATCCAGCCTCACACATTTACTAGCTGTGTCACCCTGGGCTAGTCATTTAACTTTTTTCTGTTTGTCTCAGTTTCTCCATCTATAAAATGGAGTTAAAAAATAGCACCTAGCTCCCAGGGTTGTTGTGAGGATAAAATAATATTTGTGAAACACTTAGCATAGTAGCTGGCACTTAGCAGGCATTTAATTAGTACACTGCAACTAAATTCAATTCAATGAACATTCAATAAGCACCTACAGGGTGCAAAGCTCCTTCCTAGACACTTAAAGTGAGACAAAACGAATCGTATGAGAAGTAGAAGAAAGGAAGGTGAGAAGGGAAAACAGAAGAGAGCTAGGAAAGGGATTGAGGGCAATTTTATACAGGTCATACATGTTCAATCATCATATGATTTTAAAAAATTATTTATTTAATATTTTATTTTTCCCCAATTACATGTAAAGACAGTTTTAACATTCATTTTAAAAATTTTGAGTTCCAAATTCTCTCCCTCCCCTGCTCCTGTCCCCCTTTATTGAGAAAATAAGCAATTTGATATAGGTTATACATGTGAAGTCATGCAAAACATATTTCCATATTAATCATGTTGTAAAAGAAAACATAGACCCCCCCAAAAAAAAAAACAAGAAAAAGAAAGAAAGTTTTTAAAAAAATGCTTCAATCTGTATTCAGACACCATCGGTTCTTTCTCTGAAGTATGGATAGCATTTTTCATCGTAAATCCTTCAGAGTCTTCTTGGAGCACTGTATTGCTGAGAATAGCCAAGTCATTCACAGTTGATCATCTTAAAATATTGCTGTTACTGCATCACATGATATTTAATCACTGTCCAGACTGGGGAGAGATTTGAAGGAAATAAGGTCAAATGAGCCAAGGAAAATCATGCCTAGAAACACTATATCTTCAGTCAAACTTGTACTGGTTTTTACCTTTTTTTTTCTTGGACAAAATTCATGTTATAGTCGATGAAAGCTACCACAAGGAGATGGTGAAATCAGTTTTCTAAAATGTGCCTGGTTCCCAACTTAACAGTAGTAATAGCACTGAAGTTGATTGTTTATGCTTTATTATGGCAAACGCCTAAGTTAGCGGTTTATTCAGGGACATTTAATTGTAGGTTCCTGCTTGGAATCTGGGAGTTCTGCTTTGTGACTAATCCACAAGAAAAGGTATAGTATTTATTGAATCATAAATTTAGACCAATGGACTATAATAAAGTATATGACAAAGCAGCGTGACATTTTCATTTTGATGAATTTCCTTTCTCTACCGTTCACATCATATTTTAAGACTAGCAGCTTAGAGAGTTTGTTCCATGGGAATGTTTTTTGTCATCCCGTCATTCAGCTGAAAGACATTCAACTAGCATGTAGTCAACCAGCATTTATTAAGTATCTTCTGTATGCCAGGCACCGTGCTAATCCCTGGGGATACAAAGAAAGGCAATAAAACCTAAAAAAAAAAAAAGCCCCAAACCAAAAAAAACAGCAGTCCCTGCTCTCACAATTAAATAGGGGAGACAATATGCAAACAAGCTAGAAACAGGATCAACTTGGGGAAGGCACTGAAATTAAGGAGGATTGAGAAAGGGTTTTTGTAGGTGATGGGACTTTAGTTGACACTTGAAAGAAACCGGGGAAGCCAGAAAGAAAAGATGAGAAGGAAAACAGCCAGTGAAAATACTGAGTCAAGAGATGGCATCATGTGGGAGAATCAGCAAGAACCATGCTAAGTTGTAAGGAGGCAGCGAGGTAGCTCAGTGGATAGAGTGTTTGGATTGGAGTTGGGAAGATCTGAGTTCAAATCCAGCCTCAGACACCGACTAGCTATGTGACCCTGGGCAAATCACTTAATCTCTGTTTGTCTTAATTCACTGGAGGAGGAAATGGCAAACCACTCCAGTATCTTTGCCAAGAAAACTCCATGGACAGTATGATCCATGGGGTCACAAAGAGTTGGACACTACTGAACAAGGTATAATTAGACTAGAAAAGCAGAAAGAGGTCAGGTTATAAAGGGCTTTGAATGCCAAACCAGGCTTTATATTTGATCCCGGCAGCAAGCAAAGAGTACCAGCTCTATAATCTGAGGACTTAGGTTAAAATTCTGCATCTGTCACTGCCTGTGCAAACTTGGACAAGTCCCTTACTCTCTTGGAGTTTGTTTTCTTCATCTGTAAAACTAAAAGATTGTACTAGATGGTTACTACAGTCCCTTCTAGCTCTAAATCTGTAACCCTGATGGATTACTCCTCACTTTCCCCACCTCCTCTCCTGTTCCTGACTATTCCTCATTTTACTACACTAGCTTGCCTCATATCCTTTCTCTGCCCCCACACAAGTGAAATCATGCTGAATGTGATGAATTCATTTCAATAAAAGTATTAAACACCTATGCACAGAATATGGTGTTCAATGCCTTAGGAGAAAATGAAGGTGTACTATTTTTATCAGCTATCATTTGCATTTGAAAGATCGGTTTTGAAGCCAGAGACTGATGAGCAAATAAGCACCCACGGCTTTATCTGGGCATTATTTTCTGTGATTAATGTGGAATAGTGGAAGTGATGCTAGCGTTAATGACAAAAGACCAGGGTTTGAGTCCTAGCTCCATTGTTTCGTGGCTGTGTGACTTTGGGCAAGTCACTTATCTCGGGGCCTCATTTTCCTTGGATGTAAATTGGAGGTAAGAATTTTCAGTACCACCTATTTAATAGGGTTTTTGTGGGGAGACCCTTTTGTCAATGTGAGCTACCTTGTAGAGTTGTTTGTTTTTAGAAACAAACACACAATTCTTTGTAGTCTCAATTCCTTAATTATATAATCGATCATTCAGATTCAGAGAGGATGCCCACAGAAAGACTATCTTTTTTTTTTTTTTGGTGAGGCAATTGGGGTTAAGTGACTTGCCCAGAGTCACACAGCTAATGAGTGTTATGTGTCTGAGGCCGCATTTGAACTCAGGTCCTCCTGACTCCAGGGTCAGTGCTCTATCCACTGCGCCGTCTAGCTGCCCCCAAGACTATCTTTTTCAAAATGTTATTGGCCAATAGTAACAATTTTTAAAATGCACTATAAACAAATCACAAACAAACAAAAAATGAACAAGCAGCATAGGAAGGAAGCCTCAAATAAAACTTTGTGATCTGAACAATTTTTGTGCTAACAAGAAATCTCTGGCATAGTGGATGGAGTGCAGCTTTGGAAACAGTAACATCTGTATTTGATCCCTGCCTCTGATAAACACTGGCTAAGTGGTTTTGGACTAGTCACTTAACTTCTCTATGCCCCTAGGAAAATTACCACCTTACTGTTTCTCATCTAAGACGTTCCATCTCCACACTCCAGGCCTCTTTGCTGACTGTCCCCCATGCTTGAAATCCTCTCTCTCCTCGTCTCCAATTCCTGGCTCCCACTGGTTTCCTTCAAAACCCCGCTAAAAACCCACCTCCAACAAGAAGCTTTCCCCATCCTCATTAATCCTTATGAAAAGCCCCTCATTAGGGCCTTCCTTCTGTGACTGTCTCCAATTCATCCTGTATATAACCTGTTTGTACATAGATGTTTGCATATTGTCTCCCCCATTAGTCTATGAACTACTTGAAAACAGGGACTGTTTTTGGCCTTCCTTTGTAGTCCCAACCTGGTACTTGGTAGGTACTTAAGAAATATTTACCAGACTATATGCTATGGAAAAATTGCTTATCTGCATTGGTGGAGGTAGATTCCATAGTAGGAATTTTCCACACTAGTAAAATTACAGGTTTGGCCTCAAACATATTTACATATACAATTTAACAAAATAACAAAAATAAAAAGAATTTAATCAATGTCATCCTCATTCCACTTTAATTTATTAAAAGTATTTAAATCATACTTCCTTTCTATGTACTCATAATTACTTTGGGAAAAGAAAATAGTAAATACGGCAAATAGCATATATGTAATCTATTAGGAGCTGTAATGAAATCATTTTGTCAGCAGGTGGCAAAAGAACTCCATAAGAGAAAATCATGGCTTAGTCAGAGGCATGATCTATCCTTGGACTTTTTCAGAGAGTGCTGTTAGAAGCCAACAAAAAATCCATGTGCCATGTTTCTTTTGGACTTTGTTCACCTGTAAACTTATTGTGGAGCTAGTATTCAGAGGCAAAACAGGATGAATTCAATGGCATTTATAACCCTAAGCACTCAGGTTCTAATTCATTAGCTACAACAGCAGGATGCCTGGATATATTAACAAGTCAAGGGAAATTTTCAGAGAGTATCATATCTGGTAGGAGATTTGGCATGCAGACGGATCTGATTGGTCAATCTTCCAGCATCATCAGAAAACAGGTTCTTTTTTTTTTTTAGGCAATTGGGGTTAAGTGACTTGCCCAGGATCACACAGCTAGTAAGTGTCAAGTGTCTGATCTGAGACCAAATTTGAACTCAGGTCCTTCTGACTCCAGGGCTGGTGCTCTATCCACTGTGCCACCTAGCTGCCCCAACAGGTTCTTTTTTGAGTGACACATGGTATACGTGAATACATGACAAAAACAAGAAAACAACAACAACAAAAAACTTTTCCCCAAGTCTGGACCATAAGAAGGGAAACTCAGGATTTCTGAAGTCCTTTTCATCTCCAAATCTATGATCTACCTCCACAACATAGACCAAGAACATTCCTGTCATGTCAGGCCATTAGACAAATTTTCCAAGGGCATTAGGCCAGTCCTACTGTCTAGACCATTGCAGAATGTATAGGTTAAATCCTGGGCCAAGAGGGGCGGATCCAAGATGGTGGAGTGAAAGCAGTGACTGGCTTGAGCTCTCCCCCAAACCCCTCCAAATACTCATAAAAAATGGCTCTAAACAAATTCTGAAGCAGCAGAACCCACAAAAAGACAGAGTGAAACAAATTTCCAG